AATTCTATTGATTGCACCACTGTGAAATATTAATATCAATATTGCGACTTAAAAAAGTTACATTTCTTAATAATTTCTTGTATTTACGCGATTACACATTATAAATGAAACTAATTTTACGGATTTATCGCGTTTATTTTTAATTTTAGTTCCCGACGTTTCGAACCCTTTACAGCGTTCATGGTCACGGGACAGACTGAGGTGTTAGACGTCTGATTGTCAAAGTTAACCCGGGCTACCGTCAGTTTTTGTATGCATTACTACTTAAACATTGCCTAACATCTGGCTATTTGCTTTGGAAGGAGGAATTTTACATACAGATAGATGGTGTAGCAATGGGCTGCCCAGTATCTCCCATTGTCGCTGACATATTTATGGAATACTTTGAGGAGAAGGCCCTTCGCACAGCTCCCATTTATCCAAGGTTTTATAAGAGGTATGTAGATGACACCTTCACCATTTTACCAACAAGTAAAGTTAATGCATTTTTAAATCACCTTAACTCAGTAAATTCCAAAATACAATTCACTATGGAATTAGAGAATAATAACTCTTTAGCTTTCTTAGATGTTTTGGTCATCCGCAATCCAAATAACACTATAAGTCACACTGTGTATAGGAAGGCAACCCATACAAATAGATACCTAAACGGTGACTCTCACCACCATCCATCCCAGTTAGCTACCGTGGGTAAATCTTTGTTTCAGAGAGCACAAGGGATCTGTGACAAACAACACCTGGCCGCTGAGCTTCAACATGTCAAGGAAGTTCTGCATGACAACAAACTTCGAGCACCGCGCCTACGTCACAGTAACCGAGTGAAACCAGCCACAGTGGAGCGAGTACCTGCTGTTCTACCATATGTCAAAGGAGTCACCGACAAGATTGGCTATATCTTAAAGCGGGCTTCAATTAATACATTCTACAAGCCGCTGAAGAAGATTAGTCAGTTTTTACCATCTGTCAAGTGTAATATCCCTCTGCAAGATCCAGGAGTGTACAAACTTGACTGTGAATGTGGGCTCTCTTACATAGGACAAACGAAAATATAAAACATAGTAGATTAAACAAGTCTGCAGTTTGTGAGCACACTGTAAATCGGCCCAACCACTACATCAGGTTTGATAGACCACAGATCCTTGCAAAAGAACACCGATTCCTCCCGAGGATGATTCGCGAGGCTATTGAAATTAAAAAACATCCTAATTTCAATAGAGAAGAGGGTTGGGTACTACCATCAGCTTGGGATCCTATCATCAATAAAATTAAATCTAAGCCCAAAAGAACCACTACTGCAAGACAAGATACAATTAGCTCCCTCTGCATAGATCGGACACAAAATCAATAATAATACAAAAACTGACGGTAGCCCGGGTTAACTTTGACAATCAGACGTCTAACACCTCAGTCTGTCCCGTGACCATGAACACTGTAAAGGGTTCGAAACGTCGGGAACTAAAATTAAAAATAAACGCGATAAATCCGTAAAATTAGTTTCATTTATAAAGTTACATTTCTACCATATTATCTTTGTGATCGTATGTATTTTAGAACTTTGTTTTAATTCGTTTATAAACTTGTAAAAGTATAAGTCTAAGAAATTTTTGATTTTCTGCCTGATAAGTGATAAGAATCCGTAATCAGACCAGTGGCATGTTTTTTGAGTTTCGTACAAATGAAATAATTTTTCACAAGCACAGAAAACCTACAATTTACCAGGCCCAGACCAAAAGCCAATAAGCGCGTTCCTTTTAAAATGAACTACAACCTATTTCGAATATCTAATTACAAACGTGTCTTGACGCATGAAATATTCGTAACAAACCTAAATAAACTTACGAAATGAAACAAGCCGACCGGCGTCATAAACTGCGGCTTTCAAAACTATAATTAAGTCGCCAGAGCCGTCATTTATTAACTTGGAACCTACGCTGCTGGAAGGATCAAACATTTTCAAATGGATTTAATTTAAATAGATCAATATTATTATATAAATTAACAAAAATTTTCAAGACAAAGACAAGCGGCAGAAATAAAGCTATCGCATAGCGTTCGCCTTATCATCCGGAAAATTTAATTTATTGTGCTTGAAGAAAAATCTGCCTAGACCACCGCGTTCACTTTAGGATATCGCGTCTTCTTTAAAATATCATGAACATTCATTGAAGTCCTGTTTAAGGCCTTTTCCAATAATATATAAATGAATAAATGTCATTATAGTAAAAGTTCCAGTTTCTGTCGACGAAGAGCATCAACTGTCACGTTTGGAACTGGAAGTAAAATCGGCGAATTTGATTAGTAGTGTATGTATCTGTTTACCATGGTAGAGTTCAATAGTGCGAAAACTTGTTTTTGGTTTACATGTCAAAATATATCATTAATAATTCGATATTTATCACTGACATGTACACGTATAAAATAAAAAAAAAAACTGTTGGCAAGTTTATGGCGCTTTTTCTCAAATAACATGACATGAAATACGTAAGCGTTAAATGCCAATAGTACTACTCCGTGCAACGTGTAAACCTAATTCCGTAGTTGCGACCGAAACTTGATACGATACACGATTTGTGATTGCGATATTTAGAATGTCCCATGGCTGGTAACAGAAATAGTCTATTTTTTTGATCTCTTTATGTAAAGTTTTGAATTTTGTTATATATTTTAATATAGTATAGTATATATTTTAGTAACTTATATTTAAAAATACTGGATAAGAATGAGTAGTATTAATTTGACTTATTGTAAGCGAAGACTATTATTTGTCGCAATTGCTGAGCATTTTTTTAATTTTTAGTGTTCTTATTACAAAAAAGGTATTTAAGATTTTTTTTTGCTTGCCACAATTAATTATGTATCTATGTGTATAGTTTATTTATTTATTTATTTATTTATACTTTATTGTACACCAAAAATAAAAATATATAAAAAGCAAATTACAAATGAATATAAAAGGAAGTACAATAGGCGGTCTTATCGCTCAGGATACTATCGCTTATTGGATACTGAGAATAATATGGATTAAATTAACCAATTAACTCTATATTTATTTGTAATTTTTAAATATTTGTGAACATTTTGAGTTGTACGATTGACCTTATTGCAAATCATCTCGGCAATGGAAGCCTGTGTCAGTAGTCTCTTCTAGTAGTTAAATAGAGGAAATATCCCTCGCATTGCCCGTCTTCGTCGTACGAATGGACAGTTTATTGCAACTTCGTTTGTATTACAACATAAACTTGCAATAGGAAGTCTTATTTCAAAGATTCACTGCATTACATATCTAATAATAATATTTGGACTCGCTTACTTAATTGATTGACGATCGTGAAAATATTAATGCTTTGGTATCGGCGCCTTTAATACATTTGAACGATCACCGAGTTGTACATGACCATAGACAAATTCCTGTCTGTCTGTATGTCCGTCTGTCACCAGGCTGTATCACACAAACCGTGCTATTAACAGTTGAAATTTTCACAGATAATGTATTTCTGTTTCCGCTTTAACAACAAATACTAAAACACAGAATAAAATTAAAAATACTTGGGGGCCCCATACAAAAAGCGCGAGGCGGTTGCTAGGCAACCTATCGTTACGTAGCAATTGGTTTACTATATATAATGGTACGGAACCCTTCGTGCACGAATCCGACTCCGGTTTTTATACTATGTGTGCATCGTATCACATCTATATAAGCTTTCCAATGTGGTAAAGACCAATTGTATTAAGGCTGCTTCAACTCACTTATATCGAATAAACATAGATTCTATAGAAAAATCATTTATAAGTTAATAAGGTTGAGATAAGAGTAAATTAGTATGTTAAATAATTAACTCTTATCTCAACCTTATTAAAGAACCTTAAACCGTTAAAGCAACCGAATTTTTATATAGGCAGTTAACAGGAGCGTTGTATAAAACTTAAAAGTCTGTGTACTATACAAAAATATTTATGTATTGATAATCGACAGTACATTTAATGTGCACATAATAGCAGTTTCATAATTTCTTCTTGTTCTGTAAAGATTTAAAATAAAACGTTTAAAGCATAGGAAAGCCGTGATCAATATAACATACAATGGTTTCAACGAGACAAGCAATTAGAGTAAAACTTTACAGGAATAATTTAATCCAACAAAACATTATTCATTTTAATTCGATTCAATAATTTAGAGTATTAGCAAAACGTACAAGAATAAAATTCTGTTATAATAACAATTTATTTAAATAGTTATCAAAAAAAATCAGTGTGCAAAATTTAAAATGTTTCTATGTATGTAACACCACCTAATATTATAGTTAAAAAGATGACGAAGAGGCTGGAACTATTAAGTAGGGGTAGGTATTCTAACTAGTAGTCGATTTTAGGAAAAGGTAACCAATATACTCTATCTGATGGTAAATGTAATCTTACTTATCACATAGTAGACTCTCGTATAAATAGAAGCTGCGTAATGGTGGCCTTTTAAATCTACGATCTTATTAACTTACAAAATAAAATTACACTCATTAGCCTACATTCGATATTAGATCTTAATACTTTTAATAATAGAATATACACTCGGTACGAAAGGGGTTATGTACGCTTGCAACACAAATATCTCAATACATGAATTTCCCGCCAAGCGGCACCCCGTCGCGCGGGCGCGTTGTACGCCGCCAACTGTCACATTGACAGGGGATAAAGCAATAAATGCCATGATAAACATTCCAACGGACCGAGAACAAACCTCGCAATTGAAATAAATATGTAATCGTTTATAATGTTAATGCCTTAGCCAGCATTGTTCGTATCGTTTTAATCGAAAATTGGTTTTGCTCGTTGCTACTGACAAATGACATTTGATTTAGGACACATGGATATTTCGGGATAAATCTGTTTATTCGCACCGTTTATTTTCAGTAACAAATGATACAATGAAATAACATTAACACAGATTTAAACATAACAGTCTTTAGCATCTACACTAATATAATTCTATAGTTACAAAAAACTTATAAAGGAAACCATCTCTGCGCTCCGTCTAATCTAATAACTTCGCCATTTAACATGGGGTTCTCTACTATGCTGGTAACTAAATGTGCAAATTCTTCTGGTTTTCCAAGTCTTGAAGGAAATGGAGTCATGCGTTTTATAAACTCAATCATTTTTTCCGGTAAATATGACACAAGAGGTGTGTCGAATACACCTGGAACAAGCAAATTACATATCTATATAGGTACCTTCATAAAAGTACAATAAAAGTGTCACAGCTAGATGTAAGTAAATTTTTCATCCCTGCATCCCTTACTGATGTTGTTCTCACTTTCAGTCTTAAGGACTGAAGGCTCATTGGCTTACTGAAAAGCTCTGAAAGGCTTACTCAAGGCTAGTTTCATGCGCGATTTAACTTCTGTCAACAACATGACTGTGTCAGGGAAACAGGGTATCCTAATGTCAACCGCAACAATTTATTCTTGCTGTGGTAGAGTACAAATGACTTCTGTGTTGGTAGTTCTCTTAGTAGAATAAAGTACATGTATTCATACTTTTGCACCGAAACTACAAATTTCATATATATATGTAGAACACACACAACAGCTGTCAATGGGCACCGCAAATAACATCAGGTGAGTTGAATACTTGTTAACCAATTTTAGATATAAAAAAAATACTAAAAACGACTGATTAAAAAGTGGTGTTCCTTCCTCTTAAATTTTAATGACGACACTCCAAATGCACAGATAGAAATTTTCTGCATAGATTTTTTGAAAATTTTCATAATCGGTAACCTATACCGATTTTAGTATAAGTGACTAGCGCTGCTCGTAAACACCAGACGGGTTCCCGATTCGTTGCCAACTTTTAAAAGCTCTACACACAAAGAAAATTCCGTCCAAATTGAGCATTGCATCGTTTTGGAACAATGTTCATTTTCAATTCTAAGGCCTTAACCAATTATTATTAGTAAGAACTTAGACATTTAACTTAAACAAATCAAAACGTAATGAGTACGATGCTGTGATTGTTTACAATCTTACGCAACGTTTTTAACTATAAAGAAATGTCAGTAAAGAAATAATTCATAAGTTAAAATCCATGAAAACGACTAGATATGGAGATTTTTTTTAAATTTTCAACTTTCATAGAATGTAAATCCGCCTTTACTTTTCGTCAATGATGTTTGACACTACAGATGTGTTGTTAACGTGCCCAAATTGAAGCCACGGAACAAGGGATCTCATACTATGTACATAATGCAATATCATCGTCCTCATCATCAGCCGCAAGACGTCCTCTGTTGAACATAGGCCTCCCCCTTAGAACGACACAACGAACGACACTTTGCCATTTGCATCCACCGGTTGCTCGCGACGCTTATGATGTCGTCAGTCCACCTAGATTCGGCCTTCCAAATAATAATGCAATATATCTTCGATTTACCGATTTTATTTCTTTAGGTTAGAAAACAAAGAAAGAGGCCTATATATGTAATACGGGGGCGAAAAAGACTAAGAAAAACTCCATTGCACACATCGTTTATAACTCATGAATTATTTTATAAATGCAATTTCTCTATCATTAAAAAAAATTGTAAGCTGGAAAAACGTTTCAGTTGTAAACAATTACCAACTGTGCTTACGTATAATTATGATGTGTGCTAATTTCTCGCTCTTAAATTAAGCGCGGGCAGCGGAGCGGCGCGGCATGGGAATAAGGTAGTACTTTTGAACAAACGAGCGAGAAACTATCACTTTAATAAATGTTTTGCCAAATACTCTAATACAGTTCATATGCGGCTATTCGCCCAGAAGTCTGGAGAATATTTGTTATTCAAATATTTTATCAGTTGCAAGTCTATAGTCTGTGCATCGTACCTTGATACAGTAGACAGCTGTACTTCAAATCACGCCTATCAAGTTTCGTAATTTTTAACGCTACAATGTACGCAAAGCAATATTGTACTTTAATGCTATATATGATATGATAGTGACGTTCCATGGGTCGACGATAATGGTTACATTCTCAACGAATTTCGTATTTCTCGACGTGTTAATTATAATCATTATAATAAATGTTTCTTCTTTCGAATGAAATTCCAAATAATTTTTCCGTTTTAATCGATATTAAATACTAGGCCCTGGGAATCGATAATAGAAACTTACTGTCCAAATAAAAGTTGTTCAATCTCTGGTCATATAAAACTCACCTGTCATCTGCATCAAACTGTCTCAGGTATACTAATAGCTTTATATTGATATACCTATTTTTTCATTTTAAACACTTTTCCTTTAAAATTTTTAATAAAACTATATACAGAATAACTATGATATTAACATATTGTGATAATTTACATAATAATAACAAACCTGGTGCAATAGTAACCACTCTGATGCCTCTAGATGCTAGATCTCTAGCAATTGGTAATGTCATTCCAATAATAGCAGCCGTGGACGCAGCATAGCCTGCTTGACCAATATCACCATCGTATGCTATTGTTGAAGCTGTGTTAACAATAACACCTCTCTGTCCATTATTATCTGGGTCATTTTTTCCAATCAAACCAGCTGCTAATCGAATTGTGTTAAATGTGCCTATTGTGTTGGTCTGCAATGAAATTTTGACATCAGCTTCTTAAATATTTAATAATGTTATTGGTTCATCATAGAATGCAATACTTATGGGTACAGTGTCAAATATATGAAAAGTGTTTCTTTTCTAAAGTTAAAAAAATCATGCAGTTTGAGTCACATTTGTTTATGACACGAGGTTCCTAAAGGAAAGGTTAACTGTGAGCTGATGGTAGGTGATTACGACTTCCCAGAGATGTCTACAAACCTTGCAGGATACAATACTAATTCAACTGTTAAGCATCTGGGCGCAAATCGGGAAGATGCGAGTTCAATTATCGCAATGGTGAAAAACTTAATCCATTTTTTGCTACAAATTATAATTTTTCATCTAAGTGCAGAGCTTGTCACTATAAAAATTTAAATTACACTTGGCAAACTTTATAAAAGTGTGCCCTTATAGCCACAATCATCATAAAATGCAAATAATAATACTTCCACTTCATACCAGTCTCCTCTTACGACATGGAACATTCCTAGATTCATGCAATAGCTGAAGCTGCTGCATACTTCATCAAGAGTTTCAGTATGAATAATATATTCATAAATCAGTTAACTTACATTGACACATTTAATAAAATCACTCATTTCACATTCCTGGTCTTTGTAGAAATTGTATACTTGATGTGCTTGTGCATAGCCTGCACAATTGACCACTGTATCTAGCCTGCCATATTTTGTTTTTGTCAATTCCAAAGCCTTTTTTACATCATCCTCTGATGACACCTAGAAGAAATTATTTTCTTTTTTTAATATAATAATTACTATAGTCCATGAGAATTATTCATAACATTTTAATAATTCCTATAATAAACATTTTCAAAATAGCAATAATTTATGAAATAACACTACTACTTCTACCTACTCAAGAATTCAAAAATAAGTATCACTATTTAAAAAATGAGGTCTTAAAGCTTTTCAGGCTTTATTGATTAAGCAGAAGAAAGAAAATTTATAAGTTGTAAGGAACATCACAGATTTGTATTATGTGTTGTCATTTGCATTGTATTCTTAAACAGGGATTCAATGTTTTCGCTTCACATACTAACATATACAAATATGTGCCATTCTGTTCAATTGTAAAACTAAGAGAAAATTTGCAAGTAAAGATTGTGAAAATTTCTAAATTAAAAACCAAAGAATTCACGCTGTTATAAGAATTAAATCTTTTAAACGCTGAATGAATAACAAAAATTCTTACACAACCAACAGAAACAGCAACATTCTCTCCGAGGACTTTAGCAAGTTCTTGCGCTCTTGTTCCTTGAATATCCAATATTACAACTTTTCCCTCATTCTTAACGAATCTCTCAACGGTGGCTCTACCTAAGCCTGATGCACCTCCAGTCACCAAACTCACCATACCCTGCGAAATAGGTTAGATTGAGATCCCGCAATTATTATTATAGCAACAACATAATGAGTCTTACTCACCTTTAGCATTATGTTTGATTATATTTGTAATTGGCAAAAGTATGAATCAGAACTAACTTCTACCAATGTTAGTAATATTTAGTATAATTATAATAACATAATACTACTAACCGCAATATCAATGTCAACAAGCATAAGCACTGGTGGTGCTGGTGCATGCATCAACGTCAATTTGACAATAACAGTGGTCAATGAAAACTTGATACATGTCAAATTCTAAAAGATAGTGATTTTTTTATTTTTACGCGAATATTATACATTGTTAAAAGAAAATTTTACGGATTTTGTCCCATTTAATTAGATTTTTAAATTCCCGAAAAACCCTCAAAGTTTCAAACCCTCTCCAGTGTTCATCGTTACGGTCCCGTGCAATGGCACTTCTTGGCCCCGTGACCAAGAAGACAAGGGCGCTGAAAAAATTCTATACAATAGGGTTGTTGTATGTAGAGTTGAGCTAAATGTACCACAGAAAAGAAAAGATAACTAAGCTACATATCTTTCCATTGGCATGCATCTTTATTGACAATGTTATGTGCATTAGATTTTTTTGCCAACTGAACGGGTAACTAAAGCAATGGAAATTATTTATAGATCTCAAACTATACTCAAAACTGATCGTGTACGATTTTATATCTTACTCTCTCTGAGCTTCTGAGTTCAAAAATGCGTCCGTTGTCATTCTTACACTTGTTTCGTGACGTTTATAATATAATACAGGAAATGAACCATATCCAAAGAAAAAGATAAATATTATGAAATGAAGTGAGCTCCGATATATTGGCTCTTCTGCAGAGATATATGTTTTCTATCACTCACTCGCAAGCTACACAAGTCGAGTTTACGTTTAACCTGACTTTCAGCAGCCGACAGTTTCGTCGTAAGAAGCCCGCGGGTGCACGATGACACTGCCCGCTCCGCTGCACCACTTCCACGAGTAACGTGTCGTTTTTTAGCCCGTTTCGTTTGATTAGATTTTTTTATCTTACTACTACTGCATCGGCGCTGCAGCCGTGCCGAGTCGTGGGGGAAAGGGAAAGAGGCAAGGCACATGAATTACATTCTTCTTCCCCGATTCCTCCTTGATTGCAAAAGATAGGCAGAGTTATTCCTCCTCTATCACCCTCGAGCTTTCCCACACTCTCTCAGTAAGCATCCAGAGGTCTCTCGGGCACTCGGAGAAGCCCTCACGGGCCGGTCTTACTCCGCAGGCTGGCCCAGTTGGGTTCACCGTGGGAAACCAAGCCGCTACTACTAAGCTCCTTCACCACGGTGGGAACCCGGTCAAAGGATCGAGATAAAAACTTGTCGTTTTTGCTTCTCTTTCGTCTATGTCCAATGTCCATAATCCCATACCAATTTAAGCATAACCAAAGATAATAATAAGTACAAGCCTAAGCAGTCATCATCATCTGAGGCATTACAGCCGCGGGTGGGCTTTAGCCTGGTCAAGCAAATCTCTCCAGTATTTATTATTATTCTTCTGCTTATTTCTGAAGATATATCGTTCTTATTAGTTACTAAGGACCCAAGGTATACAAATTCATTGACGGTAGAGAAGGTATCATTGCCAATGTTGATTCCTTGTAGTAGAGCTTGCTGGTCTTTTGAAGCTTTCAGGTACTTAGTCTTGGCCATGTTTACCTGGAGACCGGCTTCCTCAGCTGATTTCTCAAGAGCAAGGTATGCACTCTCTATTGCGGGCAGAGATCTACCTATCACGTCGAGGTCATCTGCATAACCCAAAATTTGGACGGATTTCTGGTAGATAGTCCCTTTGATCTCGATTTTTGAGTCGCGGATACATTTGTCGAGGGCGATATTGAATAATAGACAAGAGAGTGCATCGCCTTGTCTTAAGCCATTGTTAGTTCTGAAGGATACTGATAACTCCGTTTGAACCCTTATAACGCTCCGAGAGTTTCTTAGAGTCATCTCTGTCAGGCTTACGAGCTTCGTTGGGATCCCAATCTCTATTATAGCCTGGTACAAGAAATTTCTGTGCACATTGTCATATGCAGCTTTAAAGTCAACAAAAAGATGGTGGGTATTGACGTTGAACTCGTACGTTTTTTCAAGGATCTGCCTAATCGAAAAAATTTGGTCTATTGTGGACCTGTTTAGCCGAAACCCACACTGATACTCACCCAAGCTGGATTCCACATATGGCTTTAATTTATTGAAAAGTATATTTGCATAAACTTTATAACCGGTGTTCAAAAGAGATATGCCTCGGTAATTTTTGCACTCCAATATATCGCCTTTTTTATGTAGGGGACAGATAACAGATGTATTCTAGTCATCAGGCATTTCGTCATTGTTCCAAATCTGAAGAATCAGGTAAAATCGGTTCCAGCATATTTTATAAACTCTCCTTGGATATTGTCCATTCCCGGGGATTTGTTATTTTTAATAGATCGAATGGCTCGTTGGGTGTCTTCCAGAATGGGATCCAAAACCTTTTTATCGGTCTGTTGATTACTTGGGGGCCATTCCAGTATTGACTCAGGAAGTAGGTTTGTTTGTACTGAGCCGTTAAGGTGTTCACGAAAGTATTCATCCCATCTTTGAATGGTCTCAGCTTTATCACTGAGTAGCTGTCCATCCTTACATCTACATGCCGTGGTTCTGGGTTTGAATTCCTTAAGCCTAAGCAGTGGGCATAACATAATTTAACTCTAATCCGGTATACTATGTATAATCCAAAGAGTACTTTTAAATATCTATAATATATTATCTGGTCTGGTATCATCATCTATGCTCTAATCTCTATGGGTATGGATGGAGTATGGACCAACTCTATGGTGTACAATTGTGCATGGAATTGTAAATCCAAGACCGATGAAAATAAGAAATTTAACTTAAAGTTGGCAATAAGTAGGTTTTTAAAAACATTTTCTCTAAATGTTCATTTTAAAGCACATCACAAAGCTTTGCACACTGCCGCTGTGTTATACTTAGCGTAAATTCTGTTACTGTACTTGTATACTCATGACGCCGACCAACCCGGCCTAATCACTTGTCCTAATTATTTCCCTAAAAAAATATATTCTGTGTAGAAAGTGGATACACATTAATTGAGATGGCTAAAGTGGAACAGCCGCTTTTTATCTTGCCTAAAAAACGAAATGGAAAGAAACAGAATGCTGTAGCAGGACATGTCGATCATGTAATAACTGTCCAGGTATGTTTAGATATTAAATTGTTTTTTATATTCACGATGTAATATGAAATTTTACTTGGTTTTTTGTAATCTAAAATATCTTTGATTTATTTATTTCTAACCTAGTTTGCTAATATTATTTAGCTTAAAAAGAAATAAGTTCTCTAATATTTCATTGTATGAAAGTTGTTGAAGAAAATCTCGGTCACTGAAGATTTTAGAAGAAAAGTAAAGTGCCTACTTATACATTATCCACTACTGAATGAAGTTTCCCCTGAGGGTATAAAGTCATAGTTTACTGAACTTTTGAACACTTGATATTTTTATTAAAGAAATGTATATGAAATATACATTTCTTTAATAAATATTATTATTAGATATATTATTATTTCTTAGGCATGCATTTTTTCTTACAATGTTTATTTTCACAGCTGAGCAAGTGCTATTCCAACACTCAAGATTGGAATTCTATTAATGCGGGCATATAAATTAGAAGTCATGTTCTTATCATAACATTTATGCTGTTTCTGTGAACTTTTTAACTTTCAATCAGTACTCTAAAGAATTCTGTTAAGTAAGCAAACATCCACGTCATTGTAGGACAATTACTTAACTCATTTACCAGTTAGTTAATATGTTAAACTTAAATAATTGCCATATAATTTAGATGTTAGATTTTAAAGGTTTTACATAATGCAAAAAATAATTTTATAACTATTGATGTTCAAGTACTGGAAGGGAATACACCATTTTATTCATTACTGTAAATATTAAAAATCAATTATTACATACAGGGAGCTGCTGATACTGAACTACAAGCAAAGTACAAAAATGGGTTATCACCAGTAACAGAACATGTTGTCAATGGCATCATACATTCAACCATGGAGGGCCTAAAATCTAACATGAAAATAAATCTACCCATCATTAATGATGTCAATGATGAAGATATGAATGAGACTAATATTCTTATGGACTCCCAACAGAAGTTACAGAAAAACGGTTACCAGGCCCTCTCTACCCTACACAACAGCAGAGAAATTATAGACTTGTCTCCAATTTATGAGAATTCTTCAGATGCATGTTCCAGCCATGGTGACCTAAGGGAAGCTAGTGAAGTTGAAACCCAAAAGGGCTGCAGAATGTTGAATTCAGATAACAATGAAAGTACTTGTGCTACACCAAATAGTATGTCACAGACCCAATCTGAAAACAGCTTTGAAATGGGTCCACTTACAGACAGTCTTAAAAACAGTGCTAAAAGAAAAAAACGGGTGAATATTGTGCCTGGATTAGTCGAATCTGAAAATATAGACACTGAAATAACTACTTTAAGAGTAGAATCAGAGGGCTCTCTGTCTCTGACATCTTTAACTGATAATTCAAAAGATGGATATCTGACAATGACAGGAACCATTAAGAGAGGAAAAAAGAAAGGGCAAAATGTTGATGTTAAATTGAACATATCACGAGAGGAACTAGAGATAATTGAAGCTTCTATTGTGGCTGATGAATACAACAAGATGGACGTTTCCAAATGCTCTTTGTACAATGGACCTCATATATTTATATTCAGCCTCTTTTGCATTCCCATTGTTGCTTGTATTTCAGCTGTATATTCATTCTACATCGGGACCTTGGCTTGGTATAACATTTTTTCCCATGTCACAGAAAACTTCAATTGGATTAAAAAGGCTTTTTTGGCGCCAATTGTCATTTTGTCATATCCATTTTTGATAGCTATTTTTACTGTTGGTGTTGGACTGTATGCAGGGATTGTGCAGCTAACATTTAGTGGCGCTAATTGGTGGAAAGATGTCTGTGATTTTGAGAAAGGCTTTTATGGCTGGCTTTGCAACTTGTTAGGTATGTCAGAGTGCAGCCCATATGAAGTTGTTGTTTTGATGGATGTAAAACCAACCTAAAATAAACAGCTATTAAGGAACTTCAATCAATCAGGCACTTTGCCAATATCACTGCCATATTTAAACCAGTCAAGATATATGTGTATCGTACTTTTTAGGTGACATTGTTTTATGAATATTTAGTATTATTGTCATATCTAGTCATAATATTTTATAAGATAAAGATATTTTTTTTTTACACTAATATAAAATTTGCTTGTTTTTGTGAGATCTTAAAGGGAAGGTCATGCCTTTTTCTAAATGTTACAGTAAAAACATGGAGATTATAGATTAATGCGTGATAAAATGTAATGAAAGGGAACAATGGGACAGTGTTAAAAATGGTAGAGTAAATGTTCCAAGGAATGTTCTGAAAAGTTCTTCCATTGCTCAATTTCTTCCACTTTTAAATGTTTTTTTAACACTATTAAAATTTGATTTTCATTATTATTTTCTAGTCAAATAAATTATCATAGATTAACAGCTCATGAAAATTAAGTTTTGTAGAGTTAATATTCTTCCAACCATTTTATAAAATAGATGTTTTTTTTTTAAATTGAAATAACTATCATTAAACATATAGCACAAAATATCTTGAAATATATTAGCATTATATAAAACTACACAGCTTTTATATATCCATTAGCAGTCCATTAAAGTAAAATTGAATATTAAAATGTTACATATTTAAAGTTCGTAAGATGACCTCTAATAAAGGCTTTTATCAGATTATAGCTTATAATGTGACAATGCTACAAAGAATGAAAAGGTATTTAAAATTAGGAAATGTTACTTAGCATTGTGTATTTTTGCTATTGCGTGCAATAAGCATACATGTTATTTAATATTTTGATAACAATTGACAAACATGTACATGTTCATAAATATATTTAAATAATAAAATAACAGCCATACGCTTAGCAAAATGTATTAATTTTTAACATGCTTAACTTTTGCAAAGAAAGTCAACTGTATGACATGAAAGGTTTTAAGAGTAATTTTATAACATAATCAACTTTTTAATATAATGAAGACTGATGTATTCTAGTCACTTTTGTGTCCATTTTATACATAATAAAGTATTTTATAAAACTTTGCTCTTTCACTACACATCTAAAACAATGTACAAATAAAATTGGCTAAGGTCCCAACTAATTTTTTAAGAAAATCTCATGATGCATCCTTCGGTAGATTTGAATCAGTTTGCTGCCCTTTCGGCTTCAATTCAGCGTCTAATCTCTCTTTTGCTCTAACAATTTTTGATTGCAAGTAGAAAGAACCACCTTTGGCTTTATCATTGACATTGAATAAATGTTCATAATTTTTTTTTATTTTATCTGGGTCTAGTTTATCTATATTCAAAATTTGCATTGCTTCTTCTAATGTCAGTCCTGTTGAGGCATTGGCTGCTGCTCTCCTTGCACCTTCTGGTCCTCCGCCAGCTCGTTTAGCAGCTTCTTGTGAGGCAGCGATTTCTTGCTTGAGAGCTCTAGCAAACGCCCGTCCTACCACTTGAGCACCCAAAACTATTATTTGAGCAATATATTTAGCCATTTTATGCTTTGAAATGATCTAATAACTTGTATCATTACGAGAAAAGGAAAGGGAATTTCAAAATTGTCATAATGACAGTTTATAGGTTAAAGCACGTTCATATTTATGTACTCAAGTCAAGTGTTAAATATTGGACAAAGAGTAGTTTTATATATCTGAAAAAATTATCAACAAACTGGTATTGGTTTTTTTTTTCTGTTTTTGCGAAGTTCCATACGCTTCTGTCCCAGTGAATATGATAACTTCATCCGAACAGTTGTGCTGGTCTTGGTAGACAACCCATGGACTTAGGAAAGAACAAGGAACCTTGTGCTCATGACGAAGCCCTCTCCGATTCAAATACGCGAACAATCTTAAATTCCCTCGTGTAACAGGGAAGACAAGAAATTATTATACATACTATGCCTTTACACGCTACTATAGCTAATGTGCTCTTTGACCTATAAAAGTTTTGCTCTGTTTTCTCCTGGAATGAGTTGACCGAGTAATTGAACAAGGGTAATATTTTATTAGAGGTAAAATGTTTCTTCTATCGGTAGTAATCCGAATAACAACTAAAAATCATCGCCTATCTCTTCTCTGGTTTGACCTCGATCCACTTTGATCTTTGGGGTCTTAGAATATGTTCCGTAAGTAGGTGCGCTTGAAATATGATAGTGTCCAGCTCGATAGCCGGAACTATTCGTTGGGAATGTGATTTAATTGTTGAACATATTATTTAATAATTGCTAGGACAATGTATTCTTAAATTTTCTCCACAGTGGACTACAAACGGGCAGGAAATTCGAGACTAAAAATGCCGATGAGATGCGTTTCCTTCCGTATTGGGGTAGGAGAAGCCGTCAAGGAGAATGTTAAGTTGTTACAAATTTGTAGATAAAACTATCACAATTTTTTATGGCTGCTGCTAGAATTTGAAGCTACGCCTTCGCTCGTTATTAAGAATGAATTATTTACAGCAATCACACTTTCTAAAATAACATTTTTACAATGATTGAAAACTAAATTGAAATTCTAAGTTCGGAAAAAAATATATATATTACGGTGAGTTTTTATGATTAAATATTAATTATATGTTCAATTGAACTAGATTCGCTCTTTACAAGATGTAATTTGTTTTTGCTTTTTAGTTTTAGAATGCATGTAGTTAACCATTAATTAATATTTTTTATTGAATTCGTTATCTGTTTATAACGCACAGATTTTAATTTCGCGCGTATTTTGATTGACAGCAGCAACAATAATAACCTGATCTGCAGCGTTTGATTGCATTCATTTTTTCAAGTGTTTTATAACTTTTAAGAACTAATTATTGTATGAAAATATATTACTAAAATCTTGGTCACGAAAAAATATTAAGTTGCCATGGTTTGTTTTCTCAACTCTTATTGATATAAATGATAAGTTGTATAAGAATATATGATATCATGCGTCGACAATTTATTTATGAACATATTGGCTTGTTGCTTGTAGAGTTCACCAATTCCTGATACACCGTCAGAAAGAGATGGTGCCCGATCAAGAATGACGTCACCGGCGCGAGAATATGAAATGTTTGATGATGAAGGTGCTATTCTTGGGGACAATGCGGCGGAGGAAGAAGACGATGGAGAAGAATTATTTAATGATAATATGGAAGCGTGAGTTGGCATTTGTGATTTGCAGATTTTTTGTAATCTTTCTGTAAATTGATTATAAATACATTTTGTATATCTGAGTAGATTTGATTTAACTCTTTCATATAGAAATATGAATATTCTCTCATAATTGTGGTCTCTGCTTGTTTAATAATTTATATTAAACATGTTTCCCAAGGGATTATCGACCTATGCCAGCCTTAGATCGATATGATAATGAGGACTTGGACAATGATGATTATGACCCTATGTCAATTGAAGATCGGGTAGCTGCTGAACAGGAACTCCGAAGGCGTGACAGAGATGAAGGCAGACTAAGAAGGGATGACCGTGGCTTGCTTTATGGTTTGTAGCATTTTGTCTATTTTGTCTGTTGTTGTCTGTTTTTTATGTGAGAAGGTGGCAAGCAAGCAGGCAGTTCACTTGATGGTAAGTGGTAACCACTGCCCATGGACATCTGCAAGGCTGTAGGAGTGCTGATGCATTGCCACCTATAAAGTGTTCTCTTAATAAACTTGTATAACAGAAACAACAAACAGCATCATACATGCTCTAAATTTGTTTATTTGTGATGTCCATTTTAATTCACAATTATTATTATGATTATATACTGTATTGTACACCACAAAGAATTTGATACAATTAGTATAAAATAAGTCTTAAAAGCTAGGTACAATAGGTCAGTCTTATCGCTAAAAAGCTATCTCTTCCACACAACCTTAGGATGAGGAAAAATAAACTAATGAATAGTGGGAGGTTGTGTGCTCAATAAACTTACTTAATACCTAAATAGACTTAAATATAATAAAATAAACAAAATTATAATAAACATTACATTATATTCTTTTAGACAGGACTTTGCAAATAAACAAACAAATATTTGTATGGAAGGGGTTGGGTAGTAAAGTGTCAATAACATCTGTAACCTATAAAACCTTTTTTTGTCAAAACAAATACAATGCTATTAGTGGTAATGTTGAGTTTTAAATTTATTGCATAAATATTCATGCTGAAATATTTCATCAAGACTTATTCAATATAATTTTAGGGTCCCATACTCAAAAAGTAAAGTTAAGTCTGTCCGTCCGTCACTAGGCTGTATCTCATGAACCGTTTTTTTGCAGATGAATCTGATGAAGACAGTACAGACGCACCACGTGCAAAGCGCCGCCGAGCTGCTGAAAAAGCTGCTACAGGAGCTGAAGAGCAGGTAGAAGAAGGGATAGAAAGTATAGAAAATCTTGAGGATACCAAAGGTTATACTACTAAAGAATGGGTCTCAATGCTGGGCCCTCGTACGGAGATTGCTAATAGGTAATTCAAAATCTTTGAAACTTTTGCTCTATTTCTTGATTACATACATGCCATTACATAGCTCCTTTTTCTTAAAGTACAGTTTTGGTAGTACCTGTTCCATACTTATGTTCATACTTTTATTCCAGATTTAAAAACTTCCTACGAACTTACACTAATAATAAAGGGCAGTTTGTTTACAAGGACCGTATTCGAAGAATGTGCGAGCACAATCAAGCCTCTTTTCATGTGGAGTTCGACGTTTTGGCGCGTAGAGAACAGGTTCTTGCTTACTTCCTCCCAGAGGCGCCGTTCCAGATGCTGCAGATCTTCGATGAGGTTGCTAAGGAGATCGTTCTCCAGATATTTCCGAGCTACGAACGGGTGACGTCAGAAATCCATGTTCGCATATCTGATTTGCCTCTCATCGAAGAGCTTAGAACGTTCCGAAAGCTCCACTTAAATCAGCTGGTAAGAACGGTTGGTGTAATCACTGCTACGACAGGGGTCCTGCCTCAGCTGTCTGTGGTGAAATACGACTGCAACAGATGTGGCTACATCTTGGGACCATTCGTCCAAACACAGAACTCCGAAGTGAAACCAGGGTCGTGTCCAGAGTGTCAGAGTGCAGGACCATTTATGGTAAGAGACAATATTCTGTAATAATAAAATTTATTCAGATTCAACATCTTCAAGTTACTGCTGTGTTGATTATTATTAAGTAAATTGTCTTGTTATGTAGTAAAGGAAAAGTTTTTTTTAGTTTAAACCAATTCAACACGGGATCAGTATTTTTATGTTTCCTATTCTCAGGTAAATATGGAGCAAACTGTATACCGTAATTATCAAAAAGTAACAATCCAAGAGTCACCGGGTAGAATACCTGCTGGCCGAATTCCACGCAGTAAGGATTGCATACTTCTTGCAGACTTATGCGACAGATGCAAACCGGGTGATGAAGTTGATTTAACTGGAATCTATACAAATAATTATGATGGATCCCTTAATACTGAACAGGTAGGAAGGCATATATTACCTTTGTTGTAAAAAAGTGATGAACAAGGGGTTTAAACTCGCCCAAAAAATTAATAATACCACATTTTCATTTTGCCATGCAACTCAAACCACTCAAAATTTCATTGTAACTGATGGAATTTGGGCTTAAGTTGCTTAATAGAATTTGATGAAACTATAGGTAAATAATACAAATTACTATGTAATATAAATCATATATTCTGCATCATAATGGCTTTAACAACTTAAGGCGCTGTATGCAGTAAAAATAGGTTTTTCAAAAGATTTTTTAGCAAAATCTACACATTTTATAGCAGCCAAAAAAATATATGTTAATCTTGATCGTACATTCTAAGGGAACATTGTTTCCAAAACATATTCTCGATATATTTTCTCGATAGAAAAAAAATCATGAAACTACCTCTAAAAGAGAAATTCAAATCCAAAAATGAACGTAATACATCAACAAATCATAATGAAATTAATATCAGTGGTGTAGAATATATTAATAAAAAGGATTGTTGATTTTTGTTCCTAGAACTGAATGTCAAAGGCAATAGGATGATTCTCGGAGTAGTGTACTGCCCTCCTTCCACTGATTATTTCGGCAATTTGGAATCGGCTCTCGAAAACGTTATGTCCGGGCAAAAACACTGTGTAATCATGGTGATCTAAACACAGACTTATTAAAAAATTCTTCACGTTCTCTAAAACTTCAAACAATAATTGAGTCAATAGATCTCACCATTCTACCATTAAAGGCAACACATCACAATATCGACGCTGACGACTCTCTTATTGATCTTATTTTAACGAATTCTCTTGACCATGTGGAAACGCATGGTCAACTTTCCGCTCCAGGATTCTCTCGTCACGATCTAATTTATGTTTCGTATAAGATTAAACCTCCTAAAGTTACCCCCGTTTATATATATACTACCGCAACTTCAGGAATTTGAACATGGAAAGACTCCTTGAGGATGCGACTAATACAAATTTTACTCCCTTGGCAATGGCTTCTACGGCTGACGAGAAGGTGTCTATACTCAATAATATTGTTCATAGTTTATATAATGCCCATGCTCCGGTCATTAAAGTGAAATTGAAAAGGCCACCGGCCCCTTGGATGACGGATAATGTGCGAAAGGCAATGACTAGGCGAAATCGAGCTTTCTCTCTCGGTTTAAGAATAAACGTAGAAAACTAGGCAGCTTTCAAACAAGCCAGAAATAGGTGTAATCAGATGTTACGTGCAGCTAAACGCCGATATATCCATAATAATATACTAAACTCTTCTCCAACGGATGTGTGGAAATTTCTAAATTCTTTTGGTATCTCTAATTCATCTAAATTTTTGGTTCTTCTATTTCTCCAGATGATATTAACAAACACTTTATCTCTGTTTCTCTAATGGATCCTACAAACCGTGCTCATACTATAGCTTATATAGCTTCCACTCCACTTCCACACTCTCAGGATTTTCATTTTTCTCCAGTCACCGAAGATGAGACTAAGAAAGCCATTCTGGCAATCAAATCCAGAGCTGTGGGTTGTGATGATGTGAGTAGAATTATGATAGTAAGCTTGTTAGATATCCTTGTTCCTGTTGTAACTCACATTATAAACTTTTCTCTTGAATCAGGTCAGTATCCATTAATATGGAAAAAAGCATTTGTACGGCCACTTCCTAAAGTCCCTAATCCTGTACTTCCCAATCACTTTCGCCCCATCTCAATTTTACCTTTCCTTTCTAAAGTTTTGGAAGCCTGTGTTTATAAGCAAATCTCTTGTTTCATACATAAAAATAACCTACTGAGTGATTATCAGTCTGGGTTTCGTCCTGGACATAGCACCACAACTGCCTTACTTAAAATCACCGACGATATTAGATTAGGTATGGATGATGAGAAAGTGACAGTGATGGTGCTAGTCGATTTTTCTAACGCTTTTAACACAGTTGATCACGATATCCTCCTCGCTGTACTTGCTCAACTAAGGTTCGCTCCCACAGTTTTGGATTGGTTCTCATCTTATCTTCGCGGGCGTCAGCAGTCGACTATTGTGGGACAAAAGTCCTCACAATGGGCTAATATTGACTCTGGCGTACCGCAAGGCGGTATTCTTTCTCCCATAATGTTCTCAGTTTTTATAAACTCAATCACATCATGTCTTGATTGTGCGTACCATCTGTATGCGGATGACTTGCAGATTTACCTTCAGGCTGATATTGGTGACCTCCCTAACGCATTCTCTAGATTAAATTCAAACTTGAGCGTCATTCATAACTGGTCGATGCGTTATGGAATATCTGTTAACCCAAATAAATGCCAAGCAATGCTTGTCGGAAGCAGTAGATTGTTGGCTAAAATTGACATCGCAAATCTGCCTGTTGTCTACTACAACAATAAACGTATTCCGTTATCCAACTCAATTAAAAACCTTGGCCTCTTTATGGACAGTACAATGAATTGGGGAGTACAAGTCACTGAAGTTAGCCGTAAAGTCTTTGTAACTTTGCGAACCCTTTATCGTCTGAAGAATTTTCTCCCTTTTAAGATTAAGCTCTTACTTGTGCAAACCCTTATTTTCCCAATAATTGATTACGCGGATGTTTGTTACCCCGGACTTGAACAGTCACCTTCGTAACAAGCTAGAGCGCCTCTCTAACAACTGCATTAGATACATTTTTGACCTTCGAAAATATGACCATATTACTCCTTATCGTTCTCGCCTCAAATGGCTAACAATTAAACAAAGGCGTAGCTCTAGAATTCTCCTTACTCTTTTCTCGATCTTAAACGATCCTGCTACTCCGTATTATCTTAAAGATAAATTTAAATACCTCTCGCTGAACAATGAAAGAGATCTCCGTTCCTCAGCTAATCTAAAGATTACTATCCCTTCACATAATACCAGTTTCTTCAGTAATTCTTTCACTGTTCAGGCTACACTCCTCTGGAACTCCTTGCCTGATGACATACGTAGAGCCCCTAATAGGACATCATTCAAACGTTTGGTCCGTGATTTGATTTCTAAATGACCCCTTATAACCTATAATGTTGATGTTATCCTTGTGCCACTATCGTTTGTATGATTATATATATTTATGTGTGTAGATGTGTATGTATATATATATATATATATATAAATATATATTATGTATGTATGTTTAAGTAATTATATTATATATAGTAATACATATAAATATTTAATATATAATTATTATTATAAATATTTATTAATGTAATAATTGCACCTACCACGATATCTCACCACGCCCCGGGTTGACTGGGAGAGAATGCCAAAAGGCATTAAGTTCGCCCTTTGTAATCCTTTTTATTTAAAGGTTGCAATAAAGTATAAATAAATAAAAAAAAAATTGTTGTTTTAATTTGTTCATTGAAGTAAGATATTTGTAAATATTAATTTAATTCATTAAAATTAATTCGAACGCGATGGCCAAAACACCGCGCCACCGCGGCGTTGTTTCGGCTCTCTTCCAATTCCACACGCTGAACAGAGAGCGCTGAGGCGCCTTGCTAGATGGACTTATGCCGCTCATCGCCCGCTCACCGTTACGAAATATGTTTCGTATTTATTTATTATTGACAATTTAAATATTATTAGACCTTCCAAAACACGAAACTAAAAAATATATATTCACATATTTCGTATTTATAAATTATTTGTATGTATTAACAGTTGTTTAATTTATTTAAAGCATAATTTCAATGTCTTATCTCGTGATTGGTCTATCATTCCTATACATACAGTGTATAGGACCATCATTCTTTATGGATTGGGTTCAAATCCCTAAATTTTTTGTTGTACAACAATAAGTGTTGATTTTCTTATTATGGAAATATTTCTTAATTACCATTTAATTTTTGTTGGTTTTTTATTTTCATAAGTAATTACAACGAAATATTATTGTATTTGTTAAAAGTTGAAACAGTTGGAGAAAAATCTATCAGTAACTTTTAGTATTAAAATTTTTTAACGTCATCAATTTTTTTATTAAAATATTTAATTTTTCACCGTAAAACTAAAATTTCTCTTATACACGAAAAATAATTGTTTTATAATTCTTCTTATTAATTTGTTTATTTCCCAAATTGAGCCATTTTATAAAATAAAAACAAATTAATTTGTTGGCTAACAAATTAAAAGTCAAAATAATATAAAAAATACAACTCTGAACTTGAGACTACAGCAATAGTTTACCGTTGTGTATGACGCTCGGACCAACAGGCTACGCGAGGTCTGTGGAAAGTGACAAAATTTCGATTCTTGTTATAATTGCTGTCGTTTATCGATACAAATAAAGATTTTATCGATAGTTTTTTTTAAATTTCACTTTAATTGAGAAAGTAATATAACATGTAAATCTTGAACATTTAAAGGATAAATTAAAATTCCTAATCTATAAAAAAATGTAAAAAAGTTGTATTCGTAATTTCTGCAAAAATTTTATGAGCCATTTCTTTAAAATAACAATATAAACCAATAATTATATAAAAAATAATAATTATAAGTAATTTGCCTTTATTAATTTATTTGACATTAAGATGTGTTTTTAATCAATTCCTTTTCCATTTAATTAAAAAAATATTAATAAACAGGAAGTTATTAATTTTCTAAAATTGTTGATTGCTTTCTCATACTTTATATTTGTTTATTTATTATTATTCCTATTATAATATAAAAGTAAAATATGGTATTTTACTTTTCTACTTACATGGTCTATAAAAGATATTATAGGGATCATCTGCGTACATTTTCGAAAGCCTTCCATGCTACTATCGATAGTATCCTACGGCCCATCACTACACACACACTAGGTAAAGAATGAGTTGGACTAGCGCCGCGTCGACGAAACTCGCGCGCTGCGCGGCGCTAAGCGGCGTTACCCCTCCTCCGCTTCCTCATACTTCACCACCCAAATAGTTAAAAATTCACTGCATACAGCGCCTTAATGTCTAATAAATAAAAACATGTTTCAACGATAAAATTTTTAGAAAAAGTTCACTCTGATTAAATTTTTCAGGGATTTCCGGTGTTTGCGACAGTGATCATAGCAAATTACATAGTAGTAAAGGACTGTAAGCATATTGTCGAGTCTTTGACCGACGAAGACGTCGCCAACATCGTCAAATTGTCCAAGGACCCGAACATTGGCGAGAAAATTATCCAAAGCATTGCCCCTTCGATATACGGACACGATTATATTAAGAGAGGACTGGCGCTTGCTTTGTTCGGCGGTGAACCCAAGAATCCAGGTAATATATAAAAAATTACACAAGAATTAATATTTTCTTCAGGTCTATTTTTTTACATGTATTTTAGAATTTCAGAGTATTACATAAGATGTTGAATTAGGCGATTGAAAATAACTGAAATAATAAAAATAACAAATCGTATCAGGGCATAGTCCACCATGCGGCCCCACTGTAGATTGGTGGACTTATACAGCGTGTCGTTACCACCGCGACAATAAATCAACAGAGGTCTAACGCTACTTGCCAATAATCATAAAAAATATTAACGTTAAAAAATCCATAATTAAAAAAAATATTTTTCAAACAAACTAATTAATTAAAAAAGAAACAAAATTTGTAACACCTATATAACTACAACTGACTGATTTACATTCAGACACTTTTTCATTCGTTGCCACAGCATCACATTACAAGCCTCTCCTTCTAACAGTATGTTTTGTCTCTTTTAAATTCATTCAACCCATTCATATGCTTTGTGACCTTTACAAATGAACTTTACGTTACAGTTTGAGACGTAAGGATGTTCTAAAATTCTTTGTTTTGGAAAATTTAATAACTCGGTAAATATTGCTGTTTAAAGAATGTAAATGTTTAATACAATTTTAAAAAGTTATCCTCTATATTTGTGTTCATTAATTGTCGCGATTGTAAAGACACGCTGTGCACACATATCTTCTATTTTTTTTTGTTATTATTTCGAACCCAGATACAGGGGTATCATGGCTCAGGAGATAATTGTACCTTATATTTTTTTATGTATATATCTTTCTAGTAATATTTGCCAAAACAAACAAAGAAGTTTTATTTCAACCGCGCTTTTTTTAAGTTTGTTTGCTCTATTATCATTTTTACTCAATATCATATTGAAATAAATTTTATAATAATAACACGCGATCATAAAAGCATCCTTTGTTTTCTCTCCAGGTGAGAAACACAAGGTGAGGGGTGACATCAATGTCCTCATCTGTGGTGACCCTGGAACGGCTAAATCGCAGTTCCTCAAGTACACTGAAAAGGTATGTCGTAAGTAAAAAGTAAAGTAACAGCCTGAAATTATATTTCCTACTGCTGGGTAAAGGCTTTATCTGCACCAGGGATATCACCAGAACATATGAGTCAAATTATTATAAGTATGTATGTATTGCTATTACCTTTGGCGCGGGACTTTGTGTCACCTATTGATAACTTTTCTGAATCTGTGTAGGGATGACGTTAGGCAGGTGGCGGGTACTAAAATCCTTAGCCATTATCATTAAAAACATAATTCATTGTTCATATGTTGTGCTGACCCCACCTAGGTGTATATGTCGTTATTTTTCACGATGAATTGCGATCGACTTGTTGTACTCAATAAAATTAATAAACAGTGTAAAATATGAACTGGATACTACCTCTACCCTTCAGGGTTAGAAATTAGGAGTTAGTTCAACATATGATCTGATCTATTTTTACCTTTTCTTAATTTATTCGCAAACATGTTTATTAATTTTAAGTCACAAATGGTGCTTTCTTCATATCTCTGTCTCTGTGTGGCTGATATTAAAAAAATACTTTTTAGATCGCTCCCCGGGCTATATTCACAACCGGGCAAGGCGCCAGTGCGGTTGGTCTCACAGCTTACGTAAGGAAGAACCCAACAACGAGGTAATTTAAAATAACAGGAAACTCGGTTGTAATTGCCTGAAGTAAACCTGAGACTAAAGTACGACTTATCTAGAGTACTAGTTGTCACAGGACAACTATTTGTGTGACCCACAGATAGTTTTCTCGCATCCGGGTGTTTGTTTTTCCGGGTGAAATTTATGTTTGTAAAACGTCCTTAGAACACGGGATCATGTTATCCTAAAATAAGGACAGTGTCTTTTAAAAAACAAAAAAAGACCAACCCGGCTGTAAACGTCAACAGGGAATGGACTTTGGAGGCGGGAGCGTTGGTTTTAGCCGACCGCGGCGTGTGTCTGATCGACGAGTTCGACAAGATGAACGACCAAGACCGCACCTCCATACACGAGGCGATGGAGCAGCAGTCCATCTCCATCTCCAAGGCAGGCATCGTCACCTCCCTTCATGCCAGGTAGCTACCAACTTTTTCTGTTCTATTTTGAAATAAAATAGTATGTGTTACTGACGCCCTCGGACATTTCCAACAACTCTGGGGTTCTCACTAGACGAAACGTAAAAGCTACTTCCACTACATGTTCGTTTTCTGTGAAGTCATAGTAATTCTATCAATGAGCATGTCATCATACAGCTCGTAAATATGTTGTATGGCTTCATTGTATTAGAATTATGTTATTAATGTTTCATTCAGCAGTCTATCAATTTTGTAAATGGGAGTGTGTTTATTTACTTGTCCTTCTTTCATGCAGCAAAGGAGCAACTGTCCAGAATGATTTGTTGCATACAAAATGCAAAGGATGGTAAGTTTGATGCACTTTATCAAAGAAAAGTGCCAGGTTCTTATGAATTCGTCTGAAGCTGGTATGCGCGTATTGGAGAGACAAGAATGGCGACTATTCGTTATAGGCAAGGCTATGTTCTTATTCACAACTGTTTGCCTAATATGTAGTTATATGACTTATCCATGACAATAAGATCCACTTGAACGAAATCGCGGCGTGAATAATATTGTATATTCTCTCAAATCGCCAATTCCATTCGGCCCACGAACTTGTTGCTAAGTTTTTTCGTAAAGTTACCCATTAAAAATGTGAGATAATGCCTAAAATAATAACTCAGTGGTATATACAGCAAAATCAAGGTGAAATCATTAAACAAGTAACTAAATTTCCGGTTGGCTGGTAGAAAATGCCTTATGGCATTAAGCCCGCCGTTTGTACCAGTTAGTACAATAAAGTGTGCAAATAAAGAAATAAATAAATTAATTAATTAATTATAGTTTTCTCAACATCTTTTGTTATGATGGACCGTCATTGATTACGTAAAGTAGGCTGATGAAATAATACAACTTTAATGGCAGCACATTTGCAATCCTCCCACAGATGTTCAATTATAGCCGCCGCCAACCCAATAGGAGGTCGTTACGACGCATCGCTTACTTTCACGGAGAACGTGAACCTCTCAGAGCCTATCCTCTCGCGTTTCGACGTCCTTTGCGTCGTGAAGGATGAAGCAGATCCTATGCAGGATGCTCATCTCGCTAAGTAAGTATTTTTTTGAAATAAATAAGTAGCAAATGATTGAATGTTCACCCAATGTTAAACAATCACCATAATTATTGAGGGACATGGCCTGTCGTGCCACAATATCAGTTGCAGTAATATTATTGACCTTTAAGAAAACCGTAGACTTTAAGCCTGCAATTAAACTAAGATAAGGAGAGCCCATGCCCTCTTTTTGGAACATATATAACATGATGATATGAATGTTCTTAAGGGAAAACCTATAGACTTAAAGAAAACTTATAGACTACTAAATTGATTTCCACATAGTGCACGACTTAATACTGATTAACTTTGGATTTGGTACACACACCGCTTTCGCATATGATACTAACAGTAATACGCGCAATTCCAACTTAAATATGAAAGTCAGTTAGGTTAATCTCTTTAACTCTTGTTATTTTTTCTTCAGATTCGTTGTCAGTTCCCACATACGACATCATCCAACTCAGCGCGGCACTACACTTGAAGATAATAACACAGACGACATTGGTATACCGCAAGAACTGCTGAAGAAGTATATTGTATACGCGAGAGAGAATGTGCACCCTAAATTACAGGTTAAAAGAAAAGTCTTAAACATCATATCATAACTAACACCAACTCAGTCTGCTGCTGTATATGACAGTCACTTGTTTTAGGTCATCCTAGAAGAGAATTCTCTCTATAATTATAAATATATTTATAATTAAACAAAATATAGTAATAACTTATATATTGATAAATTTACATCTAAGCTACTAAAAAAATAAACAGAATGTAGGTCATGATTCTACTAAGGCTAAATCAGCCTAATATGCAAATGACATAGCCAAATTATTTATTCTTGAATACTAACCATGCTAATTGATAATCACAAGCAGGTGAAGTTCTACAGTAACAAATGCAGCCAGTAAAATAAGCAATATTAATTATTCATAGTAAAATATTTAATACTGACAGATTTTACAATTTTTAAAAGTCAAAGTCTGCTACAGCCGTTTACAATGTTATATGACACCAGCTGCATTTTTCAGGCGCCATTATTGTGACACTTGCATTAAACATTATTTCCACAGAATATGGATCAAGATAAAGTTGCGAAAATGTACAGCCAGCTCCGTCAAGAGTCTCTAGCTACAGGCAGTTTACCCATCACCGTCAGACACATTGAATCAGGTAAGGGGGAAAAATAAAGTTATATGTTCAGGTACATTTAACTGTGGTAGTACCACGCAACAGTGTTCCCTGTTGCGCGAATGGTCAGGTCCGTCTGGGTTAGTACCACAACCTCACAGAAGAACCTCACTGGCGTGTCGTAGAAGTACACTTCTGCGTTTTGTCCCTTTATTAAAAGGTGGCAACGCGTCTGCAACCCTATGGGTGTTGCAAATGTCTATGGGCGGCGGTTATCACTTAACATCAGGTGAACCGCCAGCTCGTTTGCCATTTTATCACTTTAAAAAAAAGAGGTAAAAGAATATTTAAGGACACATTTTTTACACAACATTCTCAAACTAAGCAATGTACTATGGGTACTAGATAACTGATAAAAATACTTTTGTTTTGTAAATAAGTACATATTATAAATCACCCAGACACCCAGACACTGGAAAAACGTTATTTTTATCACACAAAATTTTTTGAGTAGTGGGGATCGAACACACACCCTTTGGCGCAAGGGGCAGGTTCACTACCTACGGGTCGATAAACATTTGCCCTATGAAGTCAAGGCCCAAGAGAGTGAAGTCCCATCGTAGTTATAAATTACTAGCTGCTGCCCGCGACTACGTCTGCGTAGAGGGGTGAAAATTTAGGGTTGTATGTATTTTTGTATGCTGTGTCATAAAAAAATAGAAACAAAAAGTTTTATATAAAAAATAAAAAATAAAAGTTTAGGGGTGGACTATCCACTTAACATTTAGGGGGACGAAAAATAGAGAGTAGCCGATTCTCAGACCTACTGAATACGCATATAAAATTTTGGTAAAAATCGGTCGAGCCGTTTCGGAGGATTTCAAGTTCGAACCCCGTGACACGAGAATTTTTATATTAGATTTTGCGCCGAAACTTGAGAACTTTGAGAAGCAGGTGCTGGTTGCTGGTAATAACATAAATTGCCCTAGTACACAAAATAAAAGCTTTAAATTAATGAAATAACAAATAAATTAATGTTTGATTATAATAATAATGATAAAATATAGGAATGGGTTATTTTCTATGGGGTGCACTAAACTTAAACGAGTCTCTTCTTTGAACTTTGTCCAAATAGTACATAGTTTATAGGCTATATTTTAATATTTAAAGTATATTTTAAATGGCTTTAATCGTGATTTTTAGATAAACCTAGATTCTTCACTCTGAACTATTTCAAATCTTATGCTACCCTATAATCCTAAAATAAGGGGATTACCCTTTATTTTATGATTTTAGGTTATAACTATTAGGTTAATCAATATATACACTAGCCTTTTTTGTTGTAATTATCAAATCTTATTTTTGTGCAGTTATCCGCATGAGTGAAGCACACGCCCGGATGCACCTTCGAGCGCAAGTCAATGAGGAAGATGTCAATATGGCAATAAGAACAATGCTCGAAAGTTTCGTGGAAACGCAAAAATACAGTGTTATGCGCGCTATGAGACAGGTAACGTGTCATATTATTTTAAGTTTTAGTTACTAAGTGTAAAATATCTGATTAACTGTTTGTGAATAGCACAAATTTGCTTTTACGAATTGAACCCACAACACAGAATTTTTTATAGAATCAGTATTACTTAATGTTGTTTTACTGCCTATGATTTATTTAAATACTTTTCATTTGCATTGCAGACATTCCAGAAATATCTATCGTACAAAAAAGACCACAGTGAGCTTTTGTACTACATACTCCGTCAGTTGACTATGGATCAGCTTGCCTATATGCGGGGTCTGCACAATCACTCGCAGTCAACAATAGAGATTTCAGAACGGGACTTAACAGAAAGAGCAAGACAAATAAATATAACAGATTTGAAACCATTCTATGATAGTAGAATATTTAAAATAAACAACTTCAGTTATGATCAGAAGAGGAAGGTCATAATTCACACACTACCAGAAGTGCCTAGTGTTGCATCATGATAAAAACCCAACTACCATTTGCAGCCAAGGATTCATTAGGAGCAAACACTTTAATAACAATTAAGTTCAAAATAATTCATGGTAAATACATCTGAAATTGGTTTTAATGTAACTACATCCACCCTTTCTGAAAATATTTTAATTAAGCTAGCTGGGATATGTTTAGATATCTTCAGTGTATTTTATTAAATGTGTTTTGTATACATATAACATTTAGTAGCCTATCATTATTGATTTTTTTTATAATTGCACTGTATGGAATAATTATGATTCAAAAGGTTTCATATATTAAATAATATAGTTTACTTGTTAATTAAATATTTTATCCAATACAACTAAATTGCTACCCAAGCATTTCTTAAAGTTTTTTCGTTCACTAATAAAGTACTTTACACATTTGAATTATCATTTACTTAAAATATAATAAAGATTTTGTATTTATCAAGTAATAATATAAACTATTTGCAATTATTGCAGTCAGTGTAATTAAGTATGAAAATGTGCTTTTTGTAAAAGAAAAACTTAACTAAACTATTATAATCTCAACATTCTTATAATAATAGTACCTTTTTCCCACCATATGTAATATAAGATGAAATAGATACAATTGTTACTTTTTAATAATCAGATACCTGATGGCTTGCTGTTGTTTCATTTTTAATATTATGTTTTCATAAAGGCCAATATACTTTGATAAACTTTGACATGGGTATCATAAAAATGGCATTGCATTACTAAGAGAGAAACGTTTTATGCGTATTATATTGTTGTCATAATAACTTTTAATACATTGACTCTATTAGTAACTGCAAAAATGGTTTTTTTACACAAAATAAAAAAAATAAAAAGGATAACTGCTGAGTTACAACACTAGTAAAAGAATTTTGATGGGATTGAGATTCAGGATTTTATCAGCCAATTAGAAACTGTGCATTTTGGTTCCAATGGAATAGAGGAGAGCTTTTGTTTATATCTGTAGAATAAGCCATACTAAGAAAACACGCATTTTGCTAGCCCTTACAATCAAACGTAAACTTATGGGAATTGTCTAAAACTGTCTAATCTGACCAATTCTTATATTTCATTGTAGTTTAGTTGCTTAAATCGATCACAAAATAACGAATCGATAGGCTCGGTAGCTACTACCGATTATGCAAATTTGTATTGTGTTTTATAATATTGCAGAGGAAGTATCTATACCACAGTGACTGTTATTACATATCCCATTATAATAAGGAATAAATAATAACATTTTTACTAAGCCAAGTTTTGTGACATATATTAATATGTCCAATCTGTACCCAACAATTATGTTGGGTACATAATTGTAAGTTATTTGATTTTTTTATTGTATGCGATTGGTCTTGTTTAAATTTTAAAATTTCAAAACAGAAACAGTATTAATATCACATGTTCTTTTAAGTTTGGTATATGAATAGCCAGGTCCACACCGAAGCATTTATCATGATTATATTATATATTAGACTGATCCAGTTGAAACTTTCGATGGATTTTACTGTAGTAGGGCCAAGCTCATTTATAAATTAGTAGCGCAAGTCTCGTTTAGGGAAATAGCATAGCCTTATAGAAGACTGGCGTGAAGTGGAAGTTCGCATTTCATCTAGTGATGGAGGTAACCGGGGCCAACCTTTTTAAAAATTGTTTACGAATCTGCAAGGCCTCCGGTGTTGTAGACGTCCATGGAGGGCGGTATACACTTAACATCAGGTGAACCGCCTACTCGCTTGTCAACTTCACATAAAAATCCTGAAATATGTTCCGAGGGATCCATAATAGTTCAGTCTAAATTACCGTGACAGCAGCAGCCACACGTTTTCCTTAAATATTTGCGCAATCACAAAAAAGAAAAAAAACGGCATGTGAACCTCTATTATTTATTAACATTGTAATAATGTTTATGGGGGCCATAAGCATTTATGTTCCGTATTTTATAAAGGGATAATTATTGATCGGAGACTGTGAGATATGTGGTATTTGAGACATTATCAAGAGTTGTATTATTAAACTTATATGAATTTAAAGTAAAAAAAAACAAGTACACTAGTTAAATAGTTTTATTCAATTCTTATAAAATCCATGAGACACTTTTTATTTGAAAAAAAAAAGGTAATTTAATTTCAAGAAACACATTTGTCACTATACAATCCTAAAAATATATTTAAGTATGTCACCTTATTACAAATTGAAGTTATTAAATAGTTTTGTCTAATCAAAAATAATGTGCAAGTTTTTACAAAGCATATATTTACTACATTAATGTGATAAAATTAGTCACTTCCAAAATACAAGTATGGTGGTAATACCCAGAATTCAGGCTAAAGCTTAATCAAAATAAATTATATTATTAAACAGTTATTCGCTACAGAAAAAAAGGAGAAAAATAAATACTTATAGATTAATTAGATGGTTTAGGAAAAAGTTAGTCCCAAACCTGACAGTTTTAGTTCATTAGTAAAGTGATTGCAAATTTTGTAGACTTCTTGAAAAATGTGTGGTATAGACAAAGTTTTTTTTACAGAAAAAATGTAGTTTTGAATATTGTTAGATATTAAAAAAACTATGTCAGAGTAGCATAAGTTTGTTTTGGCATTGCCTATATATTAATATATTTTTAATAATATAACACATGCAATGTGTGTACATATGCAAAATTGTACTCTGACTGACTACTATTTCAAAATTTAAGTTACCATTATACTTCAATAAGATAACATACTATAAACTATTCTTAAAAATACTTAAATACATAAATTAAGTGTCCTCATCACTAATAAACAATAATTACAACAATTATTTTTACATCTCTACAGCTACCAATTAAAATGTTTTAATTTCACAATATAATTGTTTATCAGCCATTAGGGTAACATAAAAATACATCACAATCAGAAAGTTATAAAGTTATGCTAAGAATATTTGAACTTAACTTTCACAAACATAGCCTGTTAATAGTTAAAACATGTTGCAAAAGGGAATTGTTTTAACTTAACTTTAAATGACCAGCATTTTAAATCAATTCTCTTGCAACATCTTCATGAACTTCTTCATAGTGGACATAGAGTAAAAAAACAATTTAATCCTCATGGTGAAAATATTGTTGATAGATAATATTAAATTGAAAAACATTTAGCAGTCGCTGCATGAGTCAGATCCAGATTCACTGTCACTATCGCTGTCACTCTCAGAACAGCTGCTGCTGTCACTGCCAGAGGAATCTGAGCTGTCTGAAGCAGAATCTGAAGAACTGCTTGAGGAGTCTTTGTCAGAACAGTCTGAGCAATCTGAGTTCCTACGTTTTTTCTTACTTGGGATCTTACATTTACCATTGCTGCAAAGAATTTTAGAGCACCCATTTGAGTAAAGTTAAGATATAAAATTGAAGAATGATAATCTAAATAAATAATAAAGTTCTCTCAGAGAATTTTCATTAAAAGTAAATTCACTAGTTTGATAACACTAATTTAAGATTTCATGTATTTTAGAGTTGAGCTTCGACCTCTTTTCAAATTATATCGGTCAAATTCAAATTAAATTTCAAATTAAAATTCAATCAATGAAAAAAATTATAGTATATCATATTTATCTATATGGATCATTTCCCTACTATGTATGTACACAACAGACACATTTTTCAAGTCATTAGCTTAGAGAGAAATATAAAACTGAGTATTAGTGGGAAAGAGATGAACAATACATGGTACATTGCTTACAACAGACTATAAATTAATTTGCTTGGCCAGTTTTTATAAATATTCAAAATAATATTTAAACTACTAGCTGCTGCCCGCGACTATGTCTGCGTAGAGGGGTGAAAATTTAGGGTTGTATGTATTTTTGTATGATGTGTCATAAAAAAATAGAAACAAAAAGTTTTATATAAAAAATAAAAAAAAATTTAGGGGTGGACTACCCCCTTAAGGGGGACGAAAAATAGATAGTAGCCGATTCTCAGACCTACTGAATACGCATATAAAATAAAAAATCGGTCGAGCCGTTTCGGAGGAGTTCAAGTTCGAACCCCGTGACACGAGAATTTTATATATTAGATTATTTAACTATTTTTTCATACAGCTAAAATTTTCACCAAAATCTTATTTTACACAAAATGTAAACTTAATGTTAATAAATAATTGTATCACATTTCATTGCCATACAGTACAGATGGAAATGGAAATCACTTTTTTTAGTTTCCTATTCAGTTGGCAAAAATTCAAAATATCCTTAGTGACCTGCTGATATAAAAAAGTCATATTCACCAATATGAAAAGAGATAAATGTATCTTTTAATTGTAATGATATATTTGACCCAACTCCAATGTTTTGTAACAATTAACAACATGTTAAGTGTTCTTTTTATGTGGGTAGATAAAGATTACGAAAATGTACACATATATTATGTAATTTATTATTTATTTAAATTGTAACCAGACTGCATGTGGTCTTGTTAACAGCATGAACAGTGAATTAAATAATTCATTGGTACATACATTTAAGCTAAAACTATCAATAAAATATGCAGATTTGTAATAAGACAGCTAACAGACTGGAGCAATGTTTGCATTTAAATTGTTAATTTTTTGATTCAGATTAGCAAACGATATGAGGAAGAAGGTAAATTTTGGTAAATGTTCAGCACATTGACAAACAATTATTGCAATTAAAAAAAATTTAAATGATTGAGAAAAATCACTAATGAATTAATCAACAAGTAGGATTTTCCAGTTGCAGTCCATTATAGAAAAAACAGTTATTTTGTTTATAAAACTATAAGCGACATAGGCTAAGGTTAACCTACTAACCTAAGCTATCCGAGTCAGATTGCTCTGTGTTGGTACTCAATCATTAAATTAAAAATAATAATAATTGAACAATCAATACAAGTATGACATCGCCCACATGCTATATTTACTATAAATGTGTATTCATTTTTGAAAGTCAAATTAATAAAAAATAGCAGACTCTTAGTGAAAATAATAAGTTTTAATTTTTTTTTTTCTCGAAAACTATAAGCCAGAGAATTCTGCTTGTTGATGCAAATTCATTAATGATGTTTCTCTGATTAAATATTTTTTTAATTACAATATGCACTCGTCAATGTGCTGAACATTTGCCTAAATTTATTAGAAAAGCAAAAAAAATTAAATTACAAATAGATGTAGTAGCAATGAAATCTGCTGCTTAAGACATTTGGTTGTAACAAAATTTCATTTCACACTTTTTTTTGCTACTAGGTAGCTAGGTTGCTATGGTAGGTAGGTGGTGGGTACTTTGTAAATCTACCATCACTTTACTGTAAATAAAATAATGATGGATGGATGAGTTGGACAAATAAGGTTTAAACCAAAACAAATCTTACCTGCACTGCCCTTCTTCCTTGGCTTTCAAATTCTTTTTGAGAACTTGTGTGCGTGAGGGTCGAACTAATATTTTTCTTTTACCCTTGCATTCGTAGCTCCAATGTCCGTATTCTAGACATTTCTGACAGCGAATGCCCTGAGCAAATGCTGCAGCTAAGGCAGCTTGTCTGCAAAATATTTAATTATCGTTGAGGTCATCCTTCAGATAAGTAAAAAATACTCAAAACAAACTCAATCACATACTTTTTCCTTTGGGCCTGATGCCTGTTATAGGTTCCCAATGTCATCTTTTTTCGTTAGTTAATCTTCGTTAAACTTAATAACAATTTTTCAGGGTAATTTCAAAAAATATTTCGCACTCTGATTTTAAATAAGAAGCTATTTCAACAGCAAACACAAACGAAATGATAGTTTAGCATCAAGCGTGGCCATTCATATTCGTTTTTTATAGTTGTTTTTTTCTTTTCTGTCATATTTTGCAGCCTCGTGTTACAGATGATACGTCGAATCGCTGTCATAATGGAATAATCATTTAATTTATCATTAATTTATGTTAATTTATCATGTAAAATTGAGATAAATTTTGTTTCAAAATATGAAATAAAATTTATTGATATTTTAAATACCTACTACTAGTATGTGAAAGTGAGAATACATAAGTATTCGAGGTAGAAGAGGTCTAATTAAGTCTAAAACAGAGGTTATTTGAGATTTGCTTGGTTATTATTGCTACTCAGGCGTGCATTTCAACGTAATAAGAGAGCCGTTTACCTCACTTTTTACTTTTCAGAAGAAAAATTATATAGTCTGACTACCTTCAAAAGTCGAAGAGACCATCTTAAACCTCAGCTTTGGTCCGTTTGGAAATAGTCCTCCCTATCTAAAGACTGATTACCGTTTGGAGCACTACTGCCATAACTGGGATGGAGTGGAGCTCTAAAATGTAATGTAAGACTTTCTGATAAGTCTTAGTTGTTAAAAGTTAATCTGTCCATCCACAACACGGCAGCTTCTCATCCACGACACTGCAGCTTCTATCTATGTGTTTTAGAAGCGAAATTTGTAATCTGCACATGAATTACTCAATTAAAATCGTTTCTTCTCCTTCCACGGTTGTACGCTTGGATACTTAGCTGGTCTGTCCTTCTGTTTTCGGTTTTGTCCACGTTTTAAAGAAGAGGTTTACATCCTTTGTCGTAATATGTACAACAAAAGAGAAAAACAATTTACTAGATTGAGTTTACCCGTCCACCTGTACATAAAATTTATGTGAAAGAAGGCAGAAGTCCTTAGCCTTTAAAGCAGAAGTGTATAATAGGAATTGGCTGAAAATTTTTGATGTCTCGACGTCTTGGATGTCCCCTCTCCAAAATGATTATTGAAGCGCGTCTCAAACTCGCCCATAGTACCACCGATCATAACTGTAAGGCCACTCAGTGTGCAATTGCTACGCCCAATTCCGTAAAGTTTTTGAGACTACGAGAAGAACAAAGACCAGGAGGCTGTCTTTATAGTAAGTGATTACCGCCGCCCATGAACACCTGCAACACCCGAGGGCTTACAAATGCGTTGCCGGCCTTTTAGGAAAGAGTATGCTCTCTTTATGAAAATTCTCAGGTCGTAACGGTTTGGAAAAACCACCGGCGGCAGCTGGTTCCACAGAGTGGTTGTGCGAGGCAGGAAATGCCTTGAAAATCGCGCTGTTGTGGAACGCTGGACATTGAGGTGGTGTGGATGAAGTTTTTGGTTCTGGCGTGATGTCCGATGGTGAAATTCAGCCGCCGGGATCAATTCAAACAATTCCTCGGAACACTCCCCATGATAAATGCGATAGAAGATGTAGAGTGATCCTACATCTCTACGTAGACCCAAAAGATCAAGCTGATCAGAAACACTTTGATCGTTGTTCCGGCTCTCGTAGACGTTTTCCCGAGAAATGTGAGCTCAGCCAGTGTACGAGACATCCGCCGTGCTATTGTCTGCATAACAATGGACGTTCCTGATTTGCAACATGTCATTGATATGCAGAAGAAACAGAGTAAAGTCAAATATCTTTATTCAATATAGAAGCATTCACTTACTTATTGATAGTCAAAAAACTCTACCACCGGTTCGGAAGGAAAGCCACTGACCTGAAAAGAACCGGCGTAAGAAACTCAGCGGGACATTTTTTTTACTTGCCAAAAAAATTACAATATGTGTACAATTATTAAATTCCACTTGAAAGAGCCTGGAGCGATCAATTCATTTCCAGAGTGTGTTATCATTCAGATAATCACTAATACTATAATAGCCATTAACACACAAACATTCCTTTACAAGTTTTTTGAATTTAGCAACGGATTCATTTTGAACGTTTTCTGGAATTTTGTTGTAAAAGCTTATACATTGTCCCATAAAAGATTTACTTATTCTACGCAATCTAGTTGAGGGTAGAACTAATTTATGCTTGTTCCTTGTATTAACATCATGCACATTACTAAATCTAGAAAAGTCATTCTTATTTTTGTGGACATACATAACATTAGCAAGTATGTACTGAGGAGCTACAGTCAATATTTTTATTTCTTTAAACAGGTTTCTTAGTGAATCTTTGGGGCCCAGGTTATAAACCGCTCGAATAGCTCTCTTTTGCAGGATGAAAATAGTATTTATGTCGGCTGCATTTCCCCAAAGTAGAATGCCATAAGACATTATACTGTGGAAATAGCTAAAATATACCAGACGAGCCGTATCCACATCAGTCAACTGTCTAATTTTTTTGACTGCGAAGACTGCTGAGCTAAGTCTACTCGACAGTTTATTAATATGGGGGCCCCACTGCAATTTGGCATCTACAGTATGTATAGTTAGTAGGAGACAGTACGCAGCCTTGTGGAACACCAGCATTGACAAATTTTGAGGATCGTTGACGACGACGTTGATGCTCCGATCTGCCAAATAACTGGTGATCCAATTGCATAATTTCTCGGGAAGCCCATAGGAAAGCAGCTTCGAAAAAAGCGCTTTGTGCCATACCCGATCAAAGGCCTTGGCTTGCTTTCAACTGCTTCTGCCCATCTATGTATAACATAGACTGGAAGATCACCAGCTGAACAACCCCGACGAAAGCCGTACTGGCGGTCGCTAATCAGCCGGTGCTCCTCTAGGTAACGCAGGTTTTTTATGTGAGGAAGTGGCAAACGAGCTGTTGGTTAACCTGATGTTAAGTGATAACCGTCTGCCCATGGACATTTGCAACACCCGTAGGGTTACAGATGCCCTACCACCGTGAAAGGTGCTGGCAGTTGATAACGGACTCAATTATCATGGAGAACAAGGAGGTGATGGCTATAGGCCTGTAATTGGACTGATACGAGCGGTTGCCTTTTTTAGGGATCGGGTGTACTAAAGCGGCCTTTCATGATTTTGGGACTATGCCTAAAGTATAGGAGTGCCGGAAAAGACGCGTTAAAAATACTGTTCGTATTATTTTTAAACTGTAAGTGCAATAAAAAAAAAATTAACAAAGTTTACTACATGTTCAGTATTTTGTGTTATCTTTGTTCTTATATTGGTATAAGTATTTTTTTAGCTTTGTTCATATACTGGAATAAGTATTTTTAAAGCATAACTTACATGTCTTATAATAAGAACATGATTGAGCTTGAACTATATTTAACAAAAGAGCTATAAAAACCCGCGTGCAGGAACATGTAGCTGGCTTAAAATATCAATGATTGAGCAGAAATTTACCCAAAAACTATTTTTCGTGTAATCTTCACTAAATCGTGAGCTGCAATCTAGAAACTGACACAACGAAATCCTAGTTCAAAATCATGCTATTAACTAGGAAAAATCTGGTGTAATGAAGATGGTAGAGCACAAATCATAAGGTTGCAATTTTATTGATAGTATAAATGTAATTAATATGATTGCGGATTATGGTATTGAACTTCAGAAGTCAGTACGGACGGCAAAAATTGTACAGCCTATTGGCAGCTTAAATCCGCTACTACTTGTATCGTCTCGTGCTTCTCCTTGTTAATTGAATTTACCATCTTCAGGTAACAGGCGTCGCTGTGATGCAGTGGAGCAGACGGCGTCGTGCAGTGCTCGTGAGAGTATTAGTGTTCTGTAGCGTCGTGTCATCATCATGCACCAGTTATCTTATCTCTCCTGATCTGCAGGTCGTTTACACACACTGCCCTCTTCAAGCAAACAGCACTTACACAAAAAAATCCGTACGCTAAAGCTACATCCAGCTGAGCTTTTTATTTTTTATTAACTTTTATTCATGGCAGTGTGGATGACCTCTTGACAGCCACAGACTAGTTAGAGATGCTGACAGCTGACACTGACACTGACAACTAACTGTTTTTGGGCCTAAGTTCAGTACTTATAGTTTACGTGGAGTTGTGTGAGTGAATGATCAACCTGTCTATCCCTTCGATATTTGTTGGACTAACTCTTAATTTTAATGTTAGGTTTCGTTACACTTAAATTAGCCTTAAATTTGTGGTTTGAGATGTCCATGTATAGTCTTGCAATAATAATAATATGTCGAATTGGTATTGGCGAGTAATTGCCTTGAAGGCTGCCTTTGCGCTTACTTGTTTAGTTTCTTATCTTCGTGCTGATGTTACGATACAGAAGCTACCGTTTTGTAATCCGCACAACACAAATAGTGCAACCAATGAGTGAGTTGCTCATATTAATAGTTATTTATCATATTACTCCTGGATTTCTTTACCATGTTATTAATTGCACATAAAACTTGTTTGTACATGCAGTTTTTGTCCAGTGTCTCTACATTCGAAACGAAATACAATAGAGACATTGACAGCGTTTTATATATTTTGGTAATCATGATATATTTATTAATTTGAAAGAAAATAGTAATAAAGTCATGTAATAATGTTTCATACAGTTGAATATTCATTTGTCGTAACAATTGTTATCCAATTAATCATGACCTTGACGTATTATCATAGATTAAGGAAACCTAATATTTTTTTAATAATGCATTAACAAATAAAAACAACTGCATTTACATTAAAACATTTTAATGTCTTATCAAAGTTTATTTTCTTTAGTTTTTAGTTATTATAATATGTATGCTGTGTATAATCTATGAAATGCTATAAACAACAGTAAGTATGTGGAAGGAATCATAAAATTTTGATACTGTTGGGGTAAATTATGCTCTAAATACAAAAATAGTGCCTAATTAGTGTTTTGCCTTTTAGGAAACAACTCAAATATTGTTCTCAATAAGCCTAAAGAATTAGAAATAAAAAAAATTGTTTTTAGTGCAAAAAGTGTTCTACTCTTGAACAGTAATTTGAACTAAAATCTATATCCTAGAATTTTGAACATATATACAGACTTTGATTTAGCTAGTGAGTTGCCTATGATTGACTAGTTGCCATTTATCTTTTGGTGATTGAGTGGCCAAGTATTTCTTCTGGCTTACAAGAAAAAAATCCAACATTTTTATCAGATTATTATTTAAAAACCTCTAAAATGATCAATTTTAATTTATTACCTAATTGTTTGGTGAAATACTATTTACAACATTAAAATTTCCTCATTTTCATTATTAACTTTTAAATTAACATTAGAGGTGTTTTATTACCATAAATGACAAAATTATCATGGTTTTATAATAAAGCTGATCGAGACAACACTTGACAGTATATTTAAAACAATCAATTTGAAACATTACAATGAAGCTTATAACATAAATTTCCTTTTGTTATAGTCTTGTAATAGTCAGCACACTTGATGGCAAGCTTACTGCATTCTCTACAGAAAATGGAATCAAGGTTTGGGATGTTGAGACCCAACCTTTACTATCTTCGAATCTTCACCATGTTGAGGTAACAGTAGAATTAATATTATTATAAACAGACTATTCTTCTATTATCATTTAGATTTCATACATGTCATTGATCAAATTGATATATTGTATATTCATGGAATAATAGGCATGTATATTATGTTATGTGGTGATAGGCATCAGCTATTATAATAAATAGCCTTTAAATTAGAAATGTACACATTGTGTATTTTTCATTAAACTGATGTTTAAAACCATTTGTGGTAATAAACATACTATATGCAATTATTTCTTTAATAGAGAATCAAATTATCTTTTCTTGACAATTTTTGCTTTAGAATATTTAAAAATTAACTCTTTATACAATTTTGCAATTGAACTCTTTTCACATTTTTGTAAAGTATGTTATAAGAAAATGATCAATACGTTAATGGTCTTATGTTAAACATATCATACATGTGACAATATTATTACATTAGTGCATAATATAACGGTAATATTGACATAGAGTATAATCTAATTAACACATTTATAGTTGACTTCTGGTGGAAAATGGGTCCGGCTAGTTCCCTCCCTACGAGGCACCCTGTACAGTTTGAGTGGTGATAGTATAGAGCCTCTGCCATTTGATGCGGAGCAACTCCTGTCATCATCTTTTAAATATTCGGATGATTTAGTTATTGCTGGTAAGTTCTTATATTACTATGTGATTCATTTAAAAAGAAAATTTTATCAATACTTATGGTATTAATTGTAGCTTTAACTATGTTTCTAACTTCCTTCATATAATACTAGATTTACTTCTGCTTACAATGAAAAATTATTTTGTTTGTCTAGTTTGAAAGTAGTTGTAAACTTCATAGTTATATTTAGTTTTTTTTTAATTCCAAAGATGTTTCCTAGAATTTTTAAACATTGCCAGTACAGTTACGTTGGTGTATACCAATAATGTTCCACCCACATAGAAACTATTTAAACTTCCTTGAAGTTTTAATAGTTTCTATGTGGGTGGATTGTTTTTTTCTTCATCAAATCTGTCATAATTGAAAAATATGAAAATATGGCCCTGAGTTGGTATAATTTTGTCCCCGTTTCAGGTGCTAAGGAAACGTCATGGCTGGGCATAGACGCGCATTCTGGGGCCGTGATATACGAGTGCGGAACCGGTGGCTGCAGCAGCGAGGAGCAGACCGCTGGTGCTGGTCGCGACATGCTCGTGCTGCGACGACATTCCAACACCGTGAGGGCTCTGGAACCGCGTTCTGGTGGCGAGAAGTGAGTGCTGTGCAGTGCAGTGTCGTGTATTGACGTAAAGTCGTATCGAGTCGCACCCTCGCGTATCATTAGTAGTGAGGCGTGTGTATCGTAACGGGTAAATATAACGGGTATCTAAAAATAACAATGTACCTGTTACGAACTAACGCACTTCTTGGTCTACACAAAAGTTTTTTACCATGCTGCCTCAAGCTTTTCTCTATTCTATATTATATTAGTTAGAAAGAGATAAAAACTAATAGAATCTTATTGAACATTCCGTCGAAAATTCGCCTAATTTGATCAATCGATGCCTACTTACAAAAAATGCGACAAGTTACCGCGATCCGATAATAGAACTCGCCCTAACAAAAAACGCAAAAAAAAGTTTTTGAAAGTCGATTCTTGATTTGATAATAGACGAACGATATGTACCAAAAACGCCTTCCATCCCCAGGTGGAACTTCAGCGTGGCAGAGCACCAGTTGGCGGTGAGCCTGCGGGAATGCGTGGGCCCCAGCCCTCCGCCCGTTGCGGTGTCCGTGGCGGTTGACATGCCCGAGGGGGTCGTCGCGGTCCGTGCGACGGATTCGAACGTACCCCTGTGGCAGCAAAAAGTGAGTTCGAACGTACCTGTGTGGCGGCAAAAAGTGATTTTGAACGTATAGAGGTACAGAGGCTGTAAAAAGTGAGGTCGAACGTATCTCTAGGGCGGTGAAATGTGAGTTGGAACGCACTGCTATGGCAGCAAAAAGTGAGTTCGAACGTACCTCTATGGCGGTGAAATATGAGTTCGAACGTACCTTTATGGCTTCAAAAAATGATTTCGAACGTACCTCATTGGCAGCAAAAAGTGAGTTCGAACGTACTGCTATGGCACCTCTATGGCGGTGAAAAAGTTGACCTTTATGGCTTCCGAACGTACCTCTATGGCGGTTGAAATATGGCAGCAAAAAGTTTCGACCTTTATGGCTTCAAAAAATGATTTCGAACGTACCTCATTGGCAGCAAAAAGTGAGTTCGAACGTACTGCTATGGCAGCAAAAAGTGAGTCCGAACGTACCTCTATGGCGGTGAAATATGAGTTCGAACGTACCTTTATGGCTTCAAAAAAAAATGATTTCGAACGTATGGCATTGGCAGCAAAAAGTGAGTTCGAACGTACTGCTATGGCAGCAAAAAGTGAGTCCGAACGTACCTCTATGGCGGTGCAATGTGAGTTCGAACGTACCTTTATGGCTTCAAAAAGTGATTTCGAACGTACCTCATTGGCAGCAAAAAGTGAGTTCGAACGTACTGCTATGGCAGCAAAAAGTGAGTTCGAACGTACTGCTATGGCAGCAAAAAGTGAGTCCGAACGTACCTCTATGGCGGTGAAATATGAGTTCGAACGTACCTTTATGGCTTCAAAAAATGATTTCGAACGTACCTCATTGGCAGCAAAAAGTGAGTTCGAACGTACTGCTATGGCAGCAAAAAGTGAGTCCGAACGTACCTCTATGGCGGTGCAATGTGAGTTCGAACGTACCTTTATGGCTTCAAAAAATGATTTCGAACGTACCTCATTGGCAGCAAAAAGTGAGTTCGAACGTACTGCTATGGCAGCAAAAAGTGAGTCCGAACGTACCTCTATGGCGGTGCAATGTGAGTTCGAACGTACCTTTATGGCTTCAAAAAGTGATTTCGAACGTACCGAACATTGGCAGCAAAGTGAGTTCGAACGTACTGCTATGGCAGCAAAAAGTGAGTTCGAACGTACCTGCTATGGGCGGTTCCGCAAATGTGAGTTCGAACGTACCTTTATGGCTTCAAAAAGTGATTTCGAACGTACCTCATTGGCAGCAAAAAGTGAGTTCGAACGTACTGCTATGGCAGCAAAAAGTGAGTTCGAACGTACCTCTATGGCAGCAAAAAGTGAGTTCGAACGTACCTTTATGGCTTCAAAAAGTGGTGGCAGCAAAAAGTGAGTTCGAACGTACTGCTATGGCAGCAAAAAGTGAGTTCGAACGTACCTTTATGGCTTCAAAAAGTGATTTCGAACGTACCTCATTGGCAGCAAAAAGTGAGTTCGAACGTACTGCTATGGCAGCAAAAATGGCGGTGAAATATGAGTTCGAACGTACCTTTATGGCTTCAAAAAGTGATTTCGAACGTACCTCATTGGCAGCAAAAAGTGAGTTCGAACGTACCTCATGGCAGCAAAAAGTGAGTCCGAACGTACCTCTATGGCGGTGAAATATGAGTTCGAACGTACCTTTATGGCTTCAAAAAGTGATTTCGAACGTACCTCATTGGCAGCAAAAAGTGAGTTCGAACGTACCTCTATGGCGGCAAAAAGTGAGTTCGAACGTAGCTCTATGGCGCCAAAAGTGAGTAATGTTTGAAAGCTATAGACCCATCGAGCGGGAAGAATTTCTCTTATACTTGTTCTCCAATCGCTCCACTGATTACAGCCGACATTGAACATCAAGTATAACACATATGGGATTATGGATTGTGGGTTCGATCCCTACTACCGGAAAAATTTTGTTTGAACATAGTCTTTTTACACTGTCCGGTTGTTTAAATATGTTTAATATGTATTTATTTACAAAAGTATTTTTAGTATTACATTACAAGCTTTGCTTAGTTTGGGACTGGATAACGTTGTGTCCCGAAATATTTATGTTAAAAAAAAGTTGTTTGCCAATCTTTAAAAGAGCGGGGTTCCGGTTACCTTATTTACAGATGGAATGCGAAAGTATATCAATTTGGTTTCGCGGCGGCCTTCTATGGGGTACCTCCAACGAAGAGTCTGCCCATTCGAGCAACATGCCTTTTTTAATCTTATTATTTATATCCCAGCTCGAGGCTCCCGTTGCGGGAATGTGGCGTCTGCAAGGGGGGGCGTTGCAACATGTGGACGTTCTGTGGCAGGCTGCACATGCCCTCGCCAACGGTGAACCAGCACCACCATCGCTGTACCTGGGAGTCCATGATCGCCAGGTGAGAAGGTGGCAAACTGTCAAGAAATTAACCTTTCCGATGAAACCGTGGCAACCGGCTTCTAGTTCACCATCCCGTTGAGAAGGTGGCCAACCGGCAACTAATTCACTTTAACAAATGAGATGGTGGCAAAACCAATTCACCTTCTCGTGGACATCTGTGAAGCCACCTTTCTCTAAAATCAGCTCTTTTACGCTTAATGTGCGAGAGGATCTAGTTTTAAACATGCTGTTTTTCATTTAGTCTATTTGCGGCTCACAAGAAATGAAAACTTTCTGTATTAGAGTCCATATGGAGAACGTCTCTATGCGACTGCGAACTCATCCCATTCACCCTGATGAAGAAACTACGATAGGTCCGAAACGGGTCGGTACGTACACCGATGGTACGTGAGTTTAGCTTGAGTTTCATTATTCCGCCTTCAAGAAAATGCTCGTTTTTTCTTTTTTTTTTTTTTTCAAAATTCAATTTTAAATATCTTTATTCAAAACAGGAGCATGATAGTCAAAACACTAACACCAGTTCGGAAAAGAAAGGCCACTGAAGTGCGAAGAACTGGCGAAAGAAACTCAGCGGGCCCACTATTTAACTTTTTAATTCTCAAATTGCAGCTGTACATCCAGGAGAGCTTGGTGGAAGCTCAGAAGTCGGAGAGGTCAGTGGCAGTGAGGCCCGTGCCGTGGAAGGTGAAGCAGTCGCGCCCCCTTGTGGGCGGGGGTGGCACCGCCCTCTCCCTGCCCCAGCCAGACACGGACACCCTCTCGCTTGTCACCCTATACGGCAATCCTGACTCGGGTATGCGACTTAGAAATTCTTGTAGTATTCTCGTCTGTAGGACTTATGCAAAATATACTATTCACCTGGGTTGGCTAACTATTGACTCATGTACTAATTATTTAGAACTGGTTATACAAGTTGTGAATGTTTAACGTTAAATGAGAAAAGAAAAGAACAACTTGCTTTACGAAATTTAAAGAAGCCGAAAATAATAACTGTTATTCGATATAGCTCTATTTCCGACATGAGTTGACTTTCTCTAAAAGGCCGGGCATCGCTTTGCTATCCATCTGTTATTGGCGTAATAAAATTGGCGTTTGAATGAAAACAAAGCCTCCTATCAACAATGACTCCTATCAAATTCAAGTTCACATATCTTTATCCAATATAGGAGCAAAACTCTCACTTTAATGTAAAGCCGGGGAAGTGAAGAACCGAAGAAACTCAGCCGTTTTTTTTGTGTCATTTGAAGGCAACCACGGCTTCTTCCTCTACCTGCAAGAGACGTGCGACCAGGCGGTGCAGGTGTCGGACGAGCAGCTCGCCGGCGCGGACTCGCCGCTGCCCAACGGCAGCGACCAGCTCGACCACCACCACGTGCACGTGCACGTCTACTCGCTCTGGTTCTGGTGGAAGGAGGTGTTCCTCATCACGGTCAGCACCGCCCTGCTGCTGAACCTGCTCATATGGCCGAAGCTGTTCGCGCCCAAGATGCGCCCGCCCACGCCGCCCCTGAACCAGGAGATCATAGTGGTGGAGAGGCACTACGAGAGGCCCCCATCGGCCAAGGAGTACTCGGGCCGCTACGAGAACGACTTCACGCCGCTCCGCTGCCTCGGCCAGGGCGGCTTCGGAGTGGTCTTCGAGGCGAGGAACAACATCGACCACTGCTCTTACGCCGTGAAGAGGATCACGTTGCCCAGGAGGTGAGCGCTGCACTGGTCATACGAAGCTATTGGGTTCGATTCCCGCACGGTGTCTGGGTATTTGTCCCCAAGCATAGTTGACGTAAGGCAAAAATTTTTACGACCAACCCGGTCAAGCAGAGTTGACGTAAGGCAAGAATTTTTACGACCAGCCCGGTCGTAAAAAATTCTAGCCAAAAATCATCACGATTCATATGTCGTCCTGAGCTTATCTAGATAGCAGTGGCATGCACAGAGATTTTATACGGTGTATGTATAAATATGACAAATCTATTTAGGGACATATTACTTATAAATTTAAGGCCAGATAAGATTTTAATGGCCGTAACATGCCATTATTAAAAATATTAATAAAATAAATTATTTGTTACACGTCATATTAAAATGAAAAACACACCATTAAAGAACACGCATTAATCGAGCCAAGGTATATTGTTTGACTCTATAAGAACGAGAGATCGAAACAGTGATAGAGAGAGCGCTATAGCAACGTTCAACGAGGAAAGAGACAGAGCGATGCGAACGTAACCTAAATTGCAGGGAGTCGAAACGCGAACGGGTGCTGCGCGAGGTGCGCGCCCTCGCCAAGCTGGAGCACGAGAACATCGTGCGCTATTTCAACGCGTGGCTCGAGGAGCCGCCGCCCAACTGGCAGGAGCGGCGCGACGCACTCCTCATGCGGTGAGCGACGAAAGGGGGGCAGAGGCGACCGCCGTGCATTTACGATATAACCCATGAATTCGTAATAGGAAAAAAGTCCTTTTTACGAAATAACGCCTATTACGTAAATGGAAAAGATCAATTGGATAAGAACGCTTTCATTGACTGCGCGAATGTTTCTTTATGGCCATGTACATAATTTTGGGCTACTTCTTCTTCTTCCTCGTCCCCTCAATGCTGAGGATCGTGACCACGCACAATTTATCGATAACCAGTGTGATCACATTATGTCTCCAATCAGTGCGATCATGCGATTCATGGACAACCCGATAAATGATACCGCCATTGAGCTACTTACTAATTTATGTAATCTTATTTTTCTGTATTGGCCCTCCAATTAAAATTATTACTAAGCTTCTTGTAAAAATGACAAATTATTAAACCTGTGTGCGTCGTCAGCAAGTCATTAGGATCCTTACGTGAAGGAAGTAACACGATACCTTAGGCGGACGCTACTATCTACCCCGGATTGTTTAGCAGGGCGATTTTTGCAGCGAGCTAGGCAGCATGTCGATGGTGAACAGTGAGGAGTTCAGCTCGCCGACGGCCGGTAGACCTGGCAGCGTCACGCTCGAGCTGCAGAAAGCGCAGGGCTACGGAGACGCATTGCCCAGCCCGAGAAGGCCCAGGTAATACTTTGTGTCTCTCATAATAGAAACTACTCCCGAAATGCGGGATTTTTTTTCTTCTGTTATGATAGATCTAACATATAGCACCTATAGAACATCTACAAACGTTTTATTTAAAGAATAAATGGCAGACGAACAGGGGGTTTACCTGATGTTAAGTGAAAACCTCCGCCCATGACATTCGCAACATAGGAGGGTTGCAGATGCTTTGCCACCTTTTAATAAAGATGTTTACCCTGGTTACCTCAATGACCAGACGAAAAGAAGAGGTATTCTACTCCACCCTGGTTTTCTGTAAGACGGACCTGCCCCTTCGTGCAACATTGAAGACTACAATCGGATCTTCACAACAAGGACTACGTGTCGTAAAGACATGATTACACAGATAGGCGCCAGCGACGCGGCTTTATCTGTTAAAAAAAAAGGGTGTGTGTACATAAGTATGCACGTAAGCAGTTATACTTCGTTAGCGTCACAAAAGAAGATTAACTAAAAGTTTAATCCCCTGTGCCAGTACTCTTTGTTTGTGAAATGGACATAAAATTCAATTGATAGCTTGGAATTATAGGTATGTGTCAAACAGTTGTTATTGGTCGCCATGGTAATGCCGTGAACCGTGTCCGCTTTATGGGTGTTTGGTGTTGCGCGTGCATCGTAAAAATTGCCCTATCAGTTATTCCACACGCCCCCAAAAGAATAAACTTCGAAAACCGCAGGTCGCTCAGTTGCAACGACTCGTTCAGCATCGTTTTCGACGAGGACGCGCCGAAGCGTGACGTCAGCGGGGACCCGCCCAACGTGCTGTCCAGAGACCTGCAGAGCTGGAGCCGGGAGCTCTCGGGCTCCGTGCCCTCCGCCGTCCAATCGCCTCCGTCGAAGAGGACGGACGACGACGACTCGTTCATCGTGTTCGAGAACGGCAGCGGGAAGGGCTCCCACACGGAGCCCCGGCCGGACCTCTCCAATCGGATTCTGGACAAGGTGAAGCGCTGCGACGGCTACTCGAACGACAGCAGCGGCCGCAGCAGGAAGAAGGTGAGCTATGATGTGCTACGAACGCCAGCCATGATGTTATTGTTTTCTTATTTCAATTTCTCGAGACGGATTACGGTCCATTGGTCGCTGGTTCGTATCCGGCTCGAAGGACCATTCGCTTGTTAGAAATAAAACTTGTCTTTTTAAATAAATCTGTTTAATTAGAATATATTAGTAAAAAAACAGAAGCAGTTACAAAAAGACGCCGTTTTTTTCCATGGTAAAAAACGGGATGATATAAGAATCTATATGGACAACACTGACATAAAAAAATCGCCGCTTATGAACATTTGCAAAATCCGTAGAGTTGCAGATGCTTTGCCGACTTTTAATAAGTGGACCCCGGTTATCCCAAAAATTTATAAATTATGATGTAAATGTAACTGTACAGCCAGTGGACCCAAAACAAAATTACTTAGTCTAAATCTAAACTTATTAAACGTAAAAGATTGACAATAGTAAATTAACTATAACTTAACGCAACCTAAGTTTACACCCCTTCGATGTTAGAAACGAAGTGAGGTCTGAAGGAACAAATTACCACAGTACCCTGGAATATGTTTTAGTAATGAGGATTTTTTTATTGACCCTCACAGAAGGGCCACACGCGCCATTGGTCGCTGGACCAGTGCGTGCGCGAGGAGTCGAACGGCGGCACCAAGATGTACCTGTACATCCAGATGCAGCTCTGCCAGCGTGACAGCCTGCACGAGTGGCTGCGCCAGAACCGAACCTGGGACACCAGGCGCGAGAACGTGCGTTCATATCTTTTGTTAAATAAGCTGTATATTAATTGGGGATGGGATTGGCTCCTGAAACACCGGACAATCTAGTTTCGGAGTCGAGGCTCCACTAAATCTGAATGTAAAAGTGTTCATAAATCAAAAGTGTTCAATAGAACTGATGAAAATATATTGGCTAAAAATATCGATATATTTTATAAAACATATCGACATTTTTAGCGAGAAAAATTCACCAAATTTGTAAGGATGGCGGTCTGTGGGTCCTTTTTAAAAAAACACTTTTTATTGGCTGTAAGGAACTTTAATTCTGACACACGCCTACGTTATAAAAATGATTGTTATCGGACCGAGTATAGAGGTTGACTGCTTGATGTTGACATTTTTAGCGAGAAAAATATCGATATATCGATATTTTTTCGGCATCCCTACTAACGGTTAGCTCTCAGTTGGGTAAAACTGACCTCTCTCAAGCGCGCCACCGCTGCCGCGCAGGCGAACACCCTGTTCAGCCAGATCGTGTCTGCGGTGGAGTACGTGCACCTCGCGGGGCTGATCCACCGCGACCTGAAGCCGAGCAACATCTTCTTCGCGCCGGACGGCCGCGTTAAGGTCGGCGACTTCGGGCTGGTCACCGCAATGGCGGAGGGCGCGAGGGAGCCGCAGCCCGCCGAATTGGACGTGCACGCGAGACACACTTACCGCGTCGGTGAGCACCCCCTCCCCCATCACCAATCCCTCCCCTCAGCGTCCTTTTCACATAAAAAAAAGGAAACCTTCCGAAGCATTAATTGTACCACCAAGGCTGCTCCCAAATTATATAATTTACACAAACATATTACGAATGAGATTTTTTTTCATATTTCAGAAACCATTCAAAGTGAAATGACTACCTCATCCATATTTTATTAGGTATGTGTTATTGTTTCAGGTACTCATTTGTATATGTCTCCAGAACAGCTAATTGGAAAGCCATACAGCTACAAAGTGGACATCTACTCTCTCGGCTTGGTGCTATTCGAGTTACTCTATCCATTTGGCACTGAGTCAGAGCGCGTGGCATGTCTCCTACGTCTGCGCAAAGGGTGCTTCCCACAAATATTCCAGCAGACATACCCAGCCGAAGTGAGTGTTCATAAGCTAATTCTCCTAAAGCTTGCAACTGATACAAAAATTCAGTAGACTAAAGCTGTATTCATTCACGGAGCATACTCAATTCTCAATTCAACATATTTATGTCATTAGATAATACAAATTGTTGTGATATTTCATCAATGTCTTTTATGTATCATATGTATAATTTTACATAATATTTGGACTGATAAATAAGTATAATCATGAAATGTTACTGTATTTTGCTTGTTACAGAAATTGATCAATATATTATGCTTTCTTCTCTTTGCAGACGGAAGTATTAAAGTTGATGCTCAGCGAAGAACCTTCTCAACGGCCAACTGCAAGTGGTGTGCGCGCCCGGGCACCCCTATATCAAGCAACTGATGAGAAGTGGCATTTCACATTACCCAGTTTAACAGGCAGCAGTGAGGTTCAACAACATAATAATTATTAATGTAATTAATTAGCAATTTTATACATTACATATTATTGCAAGACAATAGTTATTATTATCATATAATTGTGCTATAAAAGTTTGTTACCATAAACATGGTCAAAACTTATTGTCCGTAGTGGGTAAGCAAATAATTTTGCTGTTAAAAAAAGTTGTGCTTATGACAATGTTAATTAATTAATTAACATTGCCATATGCACTGATCAAATAAGATGATCAAGACACAATCAACTTAGTAGAAATCAATATCTATCATATCTATTTTTGTTTTTAATGGACAAATTGTATTGGTAAGAAATGTTTAGCTTTGCAACCAAATTGTGGACTATTACGTTATTTTTTCATATTCATTTTTATCACCTTTTTAACTTATTCCATCTAGCTCACTGTTTACTTTATTTAAGAGACACAATACTTAATAAACATTTTCATGAGGCTTCTTTACATTCCTTGTTGTTGTTCCTCAAAAATACTCTCACAGTATTGATAACTTAATATTGTTTTATTCAAAATTATATAGAGCTACAATTAATTATTATTTCCTTTTCTTGTTCCACACCAGTGCCTTAGACATACACGCAATCGCCCGCACTCTACTTTCCCGAGACTATCCCTAGTAAACATGTTAATTGATATTATATTTATTATTAACAAATTTTTAAAATTGAAGTTTGCGAATATCTCTGTGTATCTTAAAATTTAATATCTCTGTGGTCATGATCATTACCAAAGAGATATTAAACAGTAGTAACTTAACTTTTATAAATATTTTTTTTATGGTATAACCGGTATAAATTTACCTTAATTTTTTGTGACTTAACCAAATGTTAAATGGCAGTTTAATTAAGTTAGAAATGAAGAAATAATCTAAAATAATTTATATGTTAATCGTTAAGAGGGTTATTCTATCTAAGTAGCTACAATACTCTTTTTAATTTTTGGTTATTACTGAGGTTGATTGAGGCATGTTTTGTTTCATTTCTTTTACTTTGCAAGTTTTTTTTTTTATTTCTTATATTCTTTAATTACTACAATTCTCTATTTTATTTTTTCGTTGATAAGTTCAAACCCAGTGTAACCGGCAGAATGTATATTCCCGTGATCTACTGTTTTTTTGTGAAGGAGGCTAAAAATTTAAGCCGACATTATGTTTGCTGTGGTTAACGCAGCGGAATAAGTATTTACGTCATGTAGAAACGCAAAGACTGGTTATGGAAGCGATTGCTATTTTCAATCACTGATTATTTTTTAGATTTAACGATTTTGCGGGTGTTTGTAATACCACGTCTTAGTAGCATACAAAATAAACATGAACATTTAAATTTATATTTAAACGTAACTAGTAGGGTCTCATGCCAAAGTATGCACTAGTAACAACTACAAACAATTGCATGTCCGTGCGAAATAATTATTTTCGTTCTTCGTTAATCAAAATTTAGGAATACCGCAATAATGTGCTTGCATGCACAGTGACATCCTGCATCTCGCATATAAAAAGTAAAATTGCAATAAACCCAAGTGATTACGTTAGCCGGATATGGGAAATGTACTATACTTATTTAGACAGCTTTTCTGACTAGTGAAGGTTATACTTGTGTTATATAATTAAACAAATAATTTGAAATATACTCCCAGAAAAAAACTTATCCAAAAAAAATTACTAAATTATATTGGTTGCTCCTTTAGGTTATAGGTGATTAAATTGGGATGATAGCTCAATAACATCTTAAAATTAATATGGATCCTATTATTAAAGGAAAGATGCTGATTAACATGTTTTGTATAAGTAACATTAGGATATAATTTGATTGTCATATTTAAATGATCGTTTAGTTTTCTAATTATTAAGTTGTACCACATGTAATTATGTAGTATACACGCCAAGTACTTTAGATATGGAAAGATGTCGACAGAGTGCATTAGTTTTACTATTATCTTAATAGATATAAAATGTATATTTCTGAATAATAAAACGCCATAAAATTCGTTACTTTTTATTTAATTAGCAACTAACAGTATAATTATTCTAATACAATCACAATTATAATACTAATAAGTTAATACTTAGATCAAAATCCAATAAACACATAAGTGATTTGGTTGCACCAAGTTATACATAAAAATAAACATATAATATACCGTCAATAACGATCATATAATATAGTTAATGTCAATAACCACAGAAATATGACTAAAGCTATATGTAGCTTTGTTATCACAACTTTCTGGTCAAATAGACTATAAAAGAAACACCGTCAATATCACATCTGAGATGTGATAATGGAAAAAATACACTAAAAATCTGATATTGTTAGTCAATAAGTAATTTCTGTTGAAATTACTTCAATTGTGCTGTGCACCCGTTTAACATGGAATGTCAAAATAAATATGTAGACTAACATTCCAAGAAGATAAATTATATTAAAAAAATTTTAATTCACCATAGCTCACCGGTTTATTGTTTCAGTTTTAATTAATCTAAACGAATCCCTCAACTTACTAAAAAACATTTCTAAAATTTGTGATGTGACGCTTTCACGTTGCGAAGTTAGTACTAAGTGAAAGCATACCGTTATTGTCAACTCTTGTGGAAACTGTGGCTCGTGTTGGTGTTCTCCAGAAAGCTTGGTGTCTTCCCCTCCTTGACGATCCTCAGGGCTTGGAGCACCCTCGCCGTGTCCAGTTCCTTCTCGGAGGGTTTCTCGTTGTCCAGACACAATTCGGCCATTCGCGCGTCGAACTGCTCTATGACCTTCACCCTGTAGTCTATGGACGAGGCGACTGGGTTGGCGGTCAGCCACAGATACTCCAAACAGGGTAGCTTGCATATGTGCTGCACCTCCTCTACGTCCGTTATTAGGTTACAACTCAGGTCCAGACTCTCCAGGGAGTAGAGACGCGAGAAGCCGACCAGCGAAACGACCTTGTTCTGCGAGAGGTCGATTTTTACCACGTTCCCGATCTTCGCGTGCCAGTTCTCGCACAGCGAGAAACTGTTCATGGATAGGTTGAGGACACGCAGCTCGTGGAGGCAAGATATATCGCAGAGCTCGGTCAGACGGTTGGAAGAGAGAGAGAGGTGCTGCAGTCTCGGTACGAGTTTTATCGCCCAATCGACGCTCTCGATGTTGTTGCTCGCGAAATTTATAACAGACAGCTTCTTCCACGTCTGCAAAGAGTTTTGTTGTGAAGAGTGAGTCTGTGAACCAATACGGCCGACGGAGTGTGGGAATGTTGACGACTTATTTTTAACGATATTGTCTAAAATATACTTAAAAATCAGCTTGGAGAATTAACGTTAGGTAAGTAATGTTTTTATGTACCTTGGTTACCTGATACCTGGAAATTGGACCAAGCTAGCAGGTGCGATCTTAGTGGATACCAACGCTACTCAATCGTACACGTTTCGTTCGTCAGAAAATACGTGACGTTTGGCGGCCCTGGGATCTTGAACTATACATACATAGTATGTGTTGCTTTCGTTTACAATATAATCATGGTTTTAGACCCAATGCAGTATTTCCGATTTCAATTTATTTTATTAATTTATTACAATTACTATTGTATCCCACAATTATATTTCAGTAGGTATTTTAAGTATTGATTAAAACCATTGCGATATCCGTGCGATTAAACCGAAGAAATCTATTGCTACTTGCATTGTAGTTGCGGTGCTTATCGATGATTCATTTCAATAAAAACCTGCCAGTGATCACGCATTATATTTTTGAAATATAAATGACAACTACCTCAAGCCTTAAATCCTTTGTAATGATGTCATTTCAGACATAGCGCCTCGCTCGACTGCCTTTACTGGACCTATAGACGTTTCCTTTGTCGGCTGGACACCTAGGTAGTGCCACGCAGTTATTAAGGCTGCTGCACGAATGGGCAGGATTGTTCGGCGAAGTACGGCCGTTGTACTTGAAACGTCAAAGACAGCGTGAAGTGGAAGTATGTATTATAATTTCGTATTTTGTCTGGTAAGTAAATGAGGTAACCCACTTTTGGGCCAATGTTTACAACGAATTGCAACTTGGCAGGTGTTGTAGGTACATGGGTGGCGGTATACCGCATGCTTAGTTCGAATAGGCAGATGACAGGTCAGCAAAGATCGTAAGATTGCGCGCGCGACCTTAGCGTGGCAGACTACTGCATCCTAGAGAAGTTTAACGCGGGGTAGAATGTGTACCCGAGATAAGTCGTGGTGGATTAGAATAATTCGATGATCAGCCTTCAGAGTTCCACCACAAAGCGCCCAAGCTGTCTTCCCCTCTTTTAACGCGATCCGCCATTTGTCCAGCAACTATGAAAGCAGCCAGGAGCAGACGAGATGACGTGAAACGGAAGCTATCATACAATGCAAAATAGACACCTCTTTCATCTTTCCTGAGACTAGCTTTCAGGTAAGGAAGGTTATTCGTGTACACTGCGTACAGAATTGGCGCAATATTGCTTTCCCGGATTCTATATTTCTCGTAACCATAACCAAATTCGCAACTACTACATAAAAATTGATAGTCACCGCCCCCGCAGCTATGACTAATAGCCGCAAAATGGCGTGTAGCAAGGAGATTTAACGAGTATTCCCTAGTACAGGAAAGTGGCAGTTGACAGCGAAATCCAGGGGAAAATTACAGTGTAAAAGACACACGTGTTTTCTCTGCAAATACAATTATGTGACATACATATTTCGTTTCAAATACAATTTTCTATGCGAGCAACTATTCATGTTTAGTTAACGATAAAATTTTAATGTAATTTAATATACAAGTGATAACATAACTGTACATGTGTAACCTAGTAAGAGATATTATAACCCTGTTAATAGACCGATAAACCCAACATCTGACTCATTTCCACGATTTATTGTTACATAGTCACAAAACTTGTTCTAGTTGAAAACATTACTCACATTAAGTATGCCTGGTTCAATGCAAACTAGTCAACTCACATCTTGTATAAATTATTTAATGTATGTAGTTACAATATTAAAGTTTATTAAATAACGAAATAATTAAATAATATAGTATGTCATGGAATAGTATGCCAAGGGCATCAAATATAAATATTAACCTTGACATAGTTAAATGAAAAACTTATAACATTAAAAGAAATATTATTAAACCCCACAATATTTGTGAGGCCCATGTAACACTTATAAATAAAGTTTGTTGGATGACTGGATATTATAATGACTGGGTATTCATAAAGTTAAATAATTTATATTAATATATAATTTTATTATAAGACAAACTCTACTGTTGTACAAATCGGCTGCTTCAACTAGGGAAGTGACAAGCCTCAGAGAAGACTGATGTGAAGTGGAAGTATTATTCTGTCACATTTCGTCTGGTGAGTGCAGTGACAGGGGCCCAGATTTTTTAAGGGAAGCAATGCATGTGTAGTATTGTAGATGTCTATAGGTGATGTTAACCACTAAATATCAGGTGGACCTCCTGGTAGTATGCCAAATTTTCACATAAAAAAGATCAATATCATAAATATCACAAAAGTTAACAGCTTCGGCCAAACAACAGCAGATATTAGGAACAAAAGTTACTCACCACAGTCTCAGCAATGCTAGATGGGTCTTTATGCAGCACGTCAACGAGCAAGAATTCATTGAGCGACACAACGCTAGCTATTAGCACCGATAGACTGGCAAGTGTTTCTCGAAGACTACCTGAATTTATGAAAAAATTGTATGTCACATTCAACTCCTTGGCCAATATCTACATAATACTCATAGAACAAGTGTAGTCCCTTAATAAGGCGCATTTAGGTGCATCCACATATTTTAACAAAAGATTGCAACAGTTATTTCTTTGTAAGCGACTTTCTCTTAATAAAAGCAACAGAAAACTGTTCCCAATCTGGGTGTTTTTTCATATTTACTTTATTTTTGTAAAACTCTTATTAGCATAGCATTAACTCCTACTAAACTAGGGATAACTTTTTAAAAATAAATACTTTTGTTATTTTCAAACATACAACACATGATATGTTCAATTTTATTAATTTTTTACTTTATAGCATAGTGTAGTATGTACATTAATTTAATTTTATTTAGGGTTTAATTTATTTTTAATTTTTCTTATTTAACAATGAAATGATCACAATATTACCAGCTAATGAATCAACTTACCAACACTTTGAATGCATGCCATTGGCACCCCAATAATTTTTAAATCCATCAATGTCTTGAATGGTATAAGGTCAAACTTCAGGTCATTTGGTATTATATTGCTTGTGCCCATGTTTTCATAGCTTCCTTCAATACTGAGAGAAGTCACTTGTGAACAAAAATCTAAAATGTGGCTAAAGTCATACATTTGATCTAGTTTTTCTGTTGGTGGGCATGCCATTTTAAATCTCTCACTTATTGCATGCAGCTGAAAGTATATTTAAAATTTTAAATAGAATATGTTTGTTATTTGTTTATAATTAAAATTTTATTTAAAGAGTTTTCAGACTTATTTGTAGGTTCAGACTAATATTCAAAAAAAAAGTCAGATTTCCTCTGTAGGAAATTAATAGCTTTGGAGATATTAAGTGCAGCATTATTGTAAGCATTGTATTGAAAAAGACATATTTCACACCTCAGACTATTTTGGCATAGAGACATTACATACAATTTGAATGTCCACAGATGTACTTATATAAGTGAGTTTCAGAGAGTGGTAATCACAAAGAAAAATAATAAATCACTGATTTGGATTGTGATTATGTTCACATAAAATATATTAAATACATATAAATCATACTAAGTAGTTCAAGGTTCAGATTGATAGTTATTTCATTAAGCTTACCTCTATTGGACTGAACTTATGTGATTTTTGATTTTGAAGTAATTTGTCACCATCCAAGAACAGCCTTTTAGCCAAATCTTGAAGTAAGAAAAATATATCGTAAAGATGAAAGTCAAGGAAGTGTGCGAATTCGTAAGGCATGGTTAGCCTCAAATAGTTAAAAACGTTTTTAAGGTAGTCATTGAGCGCTTCCCGTCTCTGTTCGATAAATTTAGGTGTTTTGTTCCGTATCACTTTTTTTGGTGGCAACAGTTCCTTAGCCACTCCATGGTCGGATACCAACTTGTCGTGAAGTTCATCGAAGTCGCTGTACCGATGTTGCACGGTCCAATTCACAGGGCCAACTTTTACAATTATTTTGTAATAGGTTACGTTGTCTTTTGTACTTGCTTCGTCTACACTCACTGTACTGTCATTTCTGTATTTAATGAAAGTCGACATGTCTAATACTAATACCAATTACCACTCAGGATTTTTATAATACTAGGCTTTATTCTTCGACATCACAAAGACTTTCGCAATCAGCTACGAAATTACTAATACTATTGACAAATGACAAGGACAATGACATTTAAGATTGTTGATATTACAACTGTCAAGTGTCAACCTTTCATTAATTTCATTATAAAAGTTAGGCAAAAATAAACAACCAGAAGTGTTCATTGGCGTATTCATTGAAAATCGCCAAAAAAGAAAAGAAGAAGAAGAAGAACCTTTCATTATCCCATTTTTTAAACAACAGCATGAAACGTTTGACACGGGCTGAAATATAGTTTTTTCTAAAATTAAATTTAACTAAATTACATACTATCTTATAAACATAGTCACCGCAGCATGGTACCAAGAACGCTGAATGTCTAATGTTTATAATAATAATAATAATATGCTTTATTGTACGCCAAAAAAGAAAAAAAGTACAAAAATAAACAAAATATTTGAACGAGAAAAAAACCAGTCGCAACCATAAGAGATTTTTTTTGAGTAATTGTAGTTTTCTCTTTAGCCCGGCGCCTTTGACAGCTTGTACGGAAGGGTCTGAGGTCCGAGCAGTGGGTAAACTAGCCACGAACTCAAAAGAAACAACGCATATGATGCATGACAGAATGAAGCCGAAATGCACCACCGCTTCTCTGTGACACCTGTTAACTAAAAATAGGCAATTTGACCAACAAGAGGGCCACGGCATTATCAAAGAATGAACTTACATCACCTCTGATAGAGGTTCGTTTTCAGATCGATGTGTATAGACTGAATCGGGTACCTGGCAATCGCCGCATGTCAATTCATGGGTACGTGTGCCGGGTTAGGCGCAGCGAGACATGGGTGGCAACTTACTCTCATAACATACAGTAGCAATTACTATTGCTGAGACGGCCTTGATTTCTAGGGTTTTAACTTGCCAAAAAACTTAATATATGTTGCAATTTTTTTTTTTTTTTTTTTTTTTTTTTTTTTTTTGAGCCTGTGGTGTGATTATTATTAAGGGCTGACGCTAACGGTATACGTCTTGCCTTTAATAATTTGTTTTGTGAGGATTTGGTGTGGTGGATTATCGTGGGGGTGTTTTGTGTGTGTTGGGTATAAGAGACTGCTGAATATAATAAGTCTTATGTAATATGATTTAGGAGTATTGTTTTCTTTATGAAGCATCTGTCATGACTTTGATTGAAATAAATTATTTATGTTAGTGGGAGATAATATGAGATATGTTATATGTGTTATAGAGTTCTAGATGAATTTATAAAGAGGAATGCGTGAGGTATATGCCTAATAAATATCTTGTGTCGATATATATGTGTATATGAATATATATATATATATATATATATATATATATATATATATATATATATATATATACATATATATATGTTGGTGTGAATATAACTAGACATTTAGTGTTATGATAACATTGGGAATTATTGACTTATTCTAGAAATTATGTGATTTAGTAGTCATTTTGTAGAAACATATGATTTATGTACAATAGTAATAAATGTATTATCTATAGTAACAAAACGTAGTGTGTTTTGATAACGATAACATAATGTATCTTTTTTTTTTTTGAGAATTAGTGACTTAGTCTAGTAATTATACAATGTAGTAGTAATAATGTAAGTATACACATAATTAGAATATACAATGATTGACATAACTCTATAATTGGAAATTCTTACATCTATCAATAATAACAAAAAGTAGTGTGTATTGATTATGAGAGCAAAATATTTTTTTTTTTTTTTTTTTTTTTTTTAATCAGCTTTATGATTGATGGCTAAGAAGAGTCCGATGATTCTTCAGTGGTGAGATTCTGATGAGTATTCTTATTTACTCTGCCAAGAAATATTGGGTTAATTCCCTCCACATTAGCTAGCAAGTGTTCCGGTGGTCTGAGTTCTCTAGGGCACCGATGTCTTGGAGCGATTGTTTTGAAATAGAAATAACGGGGGTAAAACTGGTGGGAGGGATTAAATTGTCCATTCATGTATTTGGGGTGTTTAATTTTGAAATGTCTTAATATATTGCGGCTGGTGTAGAATGCGCCGCATAATAGACACTGATTCCCTCCCTTACCCCTGTGAGACAAAGGTCTGCTGATGTTAGCGGAGCTGCGTGGACTGCTGTTGGTTCCTGTTGTGGTACTAGTGCAGGTGCAGGTTATCGCGTTTTTTGTGTGCCCAGAGATGTTTAAGTCGGAGTTGGTACCGGGAATCCCGAGGTTGCTGCTATCAAAGGTGCTGGCTTCCGAGCTTTAGGTTGTTAGGGGTTGCGGAGGGGCTTGGCAGTCTAGTTGGGGCCTCATGGATACTCGTGCCGGGTTGGTTGTTGAGGCTGAGGTTTGTGGTTATTTGCCGAGGGCATTCCCTGAGATTGTTAATGAGGGAGTTTTCTGATCTTGCGTTGGAAATCATAATTTCAACCAGGTTGTATATAGTAAGTGTTAGTTTTTCGTTGGTATTGCGGAGAGAGTCGATTTCCTCCCTTGCTTTTCTTAACTGGTTTCTAGCTTCTTCGAGTGTTGAGCAGTTATCTTCCATGGTTGTGCTATAGATATTTGAAGGTAGTGGTGATTTACAATATAAAAGATGGCGTGATTAAGAGGATAACTGAATTAGATGAGCGGGTACGTATAGATGTATGAGGTGTGTTATATAGGAAAGTTATTAGTTTTTAAAATGGGTTGGTTGTTATGTCTTGTTAAAATGCTTGATGGTTTTTACAATGTATTTAATATGGTTGTGGAAAGTTATGGCTTCTTTAATATGGTTGTGGAAAGTGGTTGCTTCTTTTTTAATAATTTCATTTGGATTGTATGAATTGGTTATGTTAGCAGTGGAGGTGGCTATTGAGTGTTCGATACTCGAGTGAGCTAAATCTACAGCAGTCTTTTATGAGATGGTCAATGGCTTGTGGAGTGTGGTTGTCGCAGGGGCATATGTCGTCTATTGTGATGTTGAATCAGTGTAGGTATTTCTTATGATATCCGTGGTTGGTTAAGAGTTGTGTGATAGCGAAGTCGGGTTTTATAATTGATATAAATTTGTATAATTGTTGTATACTAGGGAATAGGGTTTTGGTGTATATGCAGTTTTGTGGCAGTGAATATATGTTAATTAATTCAGAATAGGTTTTTTCTTTGTTTTTGTGTTTTATGTAGCTGATTGGAATGAGGTTGTAATCGGGTTGCTTGTGCATAAAGGCGGCTGATTTAGCGGCTGTGTCTGCGAGTTCGTTGCCAGTGATACCGATGTGTGCTTTTATCCAGATGAAGCTAATGTCTAAGTTAAGTTTTTGGGCGTTTATTAGATTTTTAAGTATTTCTGAGGCAATAGGGTGGTGGCTGTTGGGGTTTGTTAGTTCAGTTAGTCCGGATTTGCTGTCTGATAGAATGATACTGTTATTGGGTTTGTTGGTAATAATCCAGTCTATTGCCTTTTTGATAGCCAGAAGCTCAGCCTGGAATATAGAGCAACAGTCATGTAGTTTAAATTTATGGGTAGTGCGTTTTCCGTTTGGGGTGATTATAACGAATGCCGCTCCCACCTTGTTGTCATGTCGGCTGCCGTCGGTGTAAAATTGGTGTTTGTTTATGATGTTAATATGATTTAGTTCGTTATTCGTTGAGATTTCTTGGAAGGTGATACTAATTCTTAATGATGGATGAAGCAGTTTGTTGGGGGGTGTGGGCATTTCCAGTGGGGTGTCTTCGGGGAGGAATGTGGAGTATTTATTGAATTTTGAGTTTTCAATGTCGGAGATTTCTTTTATTTTAGCAGTGATGGGTGGGATTTGTGATATCGTTATTGCTGTGTTGGTGCTAATGGTGCAAAAACCATGGATTGTTTTGATGGCGAACAGTCTCTGTAGAGATGAGCCGTTTGGTTACCCATTTATATTTTATGGCTCCAGACCATATGCTGGAGGCATAGTATATGATCGGTTCGATTACTTGTAAGTATATAGTTTTAATGTTTTCTGGATGCACTCCCCATGTGGGTCTTATGTATGTGGTGATTTTGTTGAATAGTTTTTTGCATTTATCAATGGTGTATTCAGAGTGTTTAATGAAATTGAGTTTGTGGTCTATGATTATTCCGAGATATTTTATGTCGTTTGAGAATTTTAATTTTGTGTTTCTTATAGTGATGGAGCTTTTTGAGCCTTTATTAGTAAATGATATAATTTGAGTTTTATCGGGACCAAACATTAATTTTACTGCCTCTCCCCATCTGGTTATGGTTTCCAGCGCGGAATTAGTAGCCGTCTGGGAGATTTATATTAAGTAATTCCTCGAGTATGAGGTTCCAGAGAGTGGGTCCGCAGACAGATCCTTGGACGCACCCTCTGGACATCTTTTTATTGACAGTGCAGTCTGAGAAGTTGATGAACACCTCTCTGTCCTCCACGTAGCTAAGAAGTATTCTGTATATGTTACTAGGACAATTGATTTTACGTAATCTTAGGAATATGGCAGGCCACCATGCGTTGTCAAATGCTGATTTGATGTCCAATGATACCGCAATGACATGTTCTTTGTTGTTTTTGGCGGTTTTGATTGTATTGAGTGCGTTGCGGATGGCGTCTACCGTGGATGTTTGTAGTTTGAATCCATATTGTGATTTAAAATATGTGTTGGTGACGTTCATGTGGTGGGTGAGTCTGTTTATGATGAGTTTTTCTAGTAGTTTGCCAAATACGTTGATTAGTCCAATTGTTCGGAATTTAGATAAGTCTGTATAGTTGGATTTGTTTGGTTTGGGAATGATTTTGGCTTGTGCGATTTTCCAAGATTTTGGGAAATATTCGAGTGCGAGGCATCTGTTTAGGACTTGGGTAATGATGTTAGGGGAGGCTTTGGCAAATTGAAGGCATATGTCCGCAGTGAGGTGATCGGGCCCAGGGGCTTTTTTATGATTTATTGTTTTGAGAGTTTCGATGATTTCTGAGGTGGTGAATGGTGGCTCGTAAGGATTGTGAATTGGGTGATGCATAATAGCTCGGCTAGTGATTTGATAATTTGTGTGATCAGGGGTGTCGTCGGGGAAGAAATTGTTTATGAGTGCAGTAGCTGTGCTGAGGGTGTTATTAGTGTATGTACCGTCTTCAAGTAATAGAGTGGATGGTGGTTGGGTGATGGGACGCGTTTTAATTAGGCGATTGGTGATGGACCATACGTCTTCTTTTTTTTGTTTTTGACAGAATTCTCTGAAGCTGTTGGTTGAAGCGGTACGAATGGCATTTGAGTATTTGTTTTGTGCATTGAGTTTCTGTAATAGTATTTCGGGGTTGATGTGGTTTCCTCTGCGTTTTATGTTGCATATCTTATGGTGTATTTGTAGAACAGTGCGTTTTAGTGAGCTTAATTGTTCATTCCACCAGGGTGCTCGTTTAGGAGGTCCAGTGGCTCGGGGGATGAGTTTATCGCAGGTTTTTTGTATGGAGTTGGTGATGTTGTGTATGTATTCGTCCAATTGTGTTTTGTCCATGGTTTCTATGTGTTGATTGGTACGGAGTCTGTTGTTAATTTCAAGGTCAAATTTGGGTTCAACTAGTTCCCATTTTATTAGTGTTGTGTTGTATTTAAAAGTGGATAGTTTTTTTGTTTTGGTTAAATTGACGTTAGTGGGTGAGATGAGGAATGTTATGGCGTTGTGGTCGGATGATGGGCATATGTCGATGTCAACTTTCCATTGGTTGACATTTGTTTTGGATGCTTTGCTGATGAGTGTGAGGTCAATGATTGATTCTCTGTGATTGTGATGAGTGATTGTTTCAAATGTTGCATAATGTTAGGTTTTTGTTGGTTATAAGTTCGGATATGGTGAGTCCCCTTCTGTGGTTTTGTTTTGATCCCCACATCTTATGCCAGCCGTTGAAGTCACCGCATATGATGTGATTGGCCCCGTTAGTTATGTCTAAGAAGTATTCAAGTTTGTTAATGGTTGAGTATTTGTCTTCTCCGGGTTCGACGTAGACTGATATTAATATAATTTTTGGCCCGAATTGTTATTGATCTGGACAATGCAGATATTGGAGTTGGAGTTTTGGGTGTCACCTATTGTACTGAGTACCTTGTCTTTGATCATTATTCCAGCTTTGACTGGGTGGTTAGTGGGGAATTGGTATGCATTGTATCCGGGGATGGTTTTGAAGGTGTGGGTGGTTCCGGTGTATGGTTCATTTACAAAGATAATGTCGGTGTCGTGTTGTGTGGTATATACATGTAGTTCGTGTGTGCAATAAGGTTAAACACAATCTTTGTTCTTTGTAAATTCCTTACTTTAAATGTGAAAAAAGACAATATTTAAGCTAGGATTTACCCCTATGGTATTCAATTTCAACTTGACATTATGAATGATTATGTGCATTTTCTATTGTTAGTGCTTCAAAGTAGAGTTAGAGAACAAAAAGCCATGTAATAGACATGAGCAATTTTAACCATATTTCCTACTTACTAACGAGTTGTATGGGTATTACATATTACTAACAGCTATGCAGATTATTTTCCAATCAATTTTAAGACAGCACAAGGCCAATCTCATTTCCTTTATGTTTCTTGTAGTTTATGTTTCTTGTAGTGTGTTTTGTTTGTATCCATATTATAAGCTGAAAATAAATAAAAGGAAAATACACATAAAAAACTAATCTCATGTAATTTATTAAGTAGATAGTTATAAAATAATTATAAAACCAATTGAAAGATACAAGTTCAAAATTTTGTGCAGTTAGTTTATAGTTATATATAAAATGTACCCTTGCACTTGCCAGGTAATAAAATTAATAAATAGATTCATTTTGATATAACACAACCCTATTTAAGAATGCATTAAATTCTTCGTAAATTGTTGCACACATACATATATAAAAGATAATTTTTACTAAGCATTTTTGATTTATCATGTAACAATATAAGGAAATTGTAAACATAAATTAAAAATGATGTAACAATAAACAAATATGTCAATAAAAAAGAATTTAGTATTACAATTTATAATGTTGTAAAAAATACATTCTTGTATTAATGTTTTATGTGCAAATTACACGAAAATAGATTGCTACACATTATTTGAAGTTAACAGTGTTAAAATATAATTTAAAAGTGCAGTGCGTGATTAACAATTGCTTTTGTATTTGTTATTACAGTTTATGAATTTATCATTACACATTTTGGCATTCCTTGGACGGAAAAGGTCGTTTTTCGACTTCAAGGTGACGGCTTTGAATGCTTTGATAAGCAGAATCTTTTTGATTTTACTTCTATATCGAAATTAATTTTTACATTCAATAAACAGTTATTTCTATTAGTTATAAAAGTATTTAAATGCACTGGGAAGTGAGTTTATTAATTTAGATAAATTGGACACTGGAGTAATCAGAAAGAAAACATTAATTAACATTTTATCGTTATACGAAAATAACAAAATATATTGCCAGATGAAACATAAAAAATAATTAAAAATAATATGTTAATAGTTACGAACATAAAAGTCGAAGAAAATATTAAAAAAAAATACTTAAATTATAAAATGTTTACATTAAAACACAGACATGTCGATTTTTTGTAAAACCTACTAACATATAGTTTGCATTCTTTTACTTATGTTTATTATCACTGCAGTAACAATAATATTTAATTATCGCTAAAAACATTAGGCGTTAATTGTATCATTTAATATATTTACAATAAATTAAGTTCCAATTATATTTTTGAACATTTCACAATCACAGTTCAAAATTACGTTCATGGCATTCTTGAATAAAATATTAAATTGAAAATAAAATAACACAGGTATTACCTACATGTAATTAAGTAATGTGATGTTTATCAAAACTATGTATAGAAACTATAGCTTAAAATATTTGTTCTCTTAAATTAAACTTTTATTGAATCTATAGAAATTGTAAAACAAATGTTGCCATTTGTTAAAAAACATTTGATCGTGTACGACGGTTATAGAGACGCCCCATAAAATACGTAGCTGTTGTAAAAAATATCGATCAACATCTTTCTTTGCCGATTATATAAAGTACCGAAGAAAAATCGAAAACGTTTGATACAGCTCGCTAATAAACAAAGTGCAAACTAAAAATTTGGTCAGCATATAACTGTCAATAATTTTGACAGTTGTAAATTTAAAAGCACAAAATAAATGTTAGATAATCATGTTACAATTTGTTATTCATCATACTGATTTGTTGAAAACTGTAATGAAAGAGTTAACGGCGTCTCGAGGTTTACAAAATCTCCGCTCCACTGAAGAAATTGATCTGGTGAACAAAATAAAAACCAATACAAATCTCTCGATTAATTCACATAACCTGAAGAAACATTTATGTATATAATCTTAAAATTGAAGTACCGTAGCGACCATAGTTCACTCAATAGAGTACGAAATGACAGGGCGAAGTCATTCATAGTTTCCCGTTGAGCAAGCCTTACCTTTAACGCAGTGGGCGGAGTCGAATTAGGGCTAGATTTTATATACCTACTATTCCTTTTACTTAGAGCTGACGTCACACGCACGTGTCGACGGAGCGTTCGGTGCCGACTGTACCGGTGTTTCCGCCCGTGGGGGCGACGGCCGACAGTCATAAGGGGACATCTGTTTGAGAGTAGCACTCGTCTTCGTTGTACCGCGAGGACAGTCTGAGTGCGTGCTCCTCGCATAGCGCCGCCAGCTCTTTCACCCACTCGTCCAATAGCACCGCGTTGAGAATCGAACGGAGGGTGATGGACTGGCTCCAATACGCCTCCTGGGTGAACACCAGACGCCTCTGTATCGGCGCGTGGGGGCCGCTCTGCGGGCTCTGGGGGCTCTGCGTCGGCGAGGCTGGAAGGAACATTGTGTTAGTTGCAGCGTTTCAAAAGTTACTAAGTCCCGACGACCATTGCTATCTCGAAAGATAAATTTTAGTCTTCCTTTATAAAACATTGCCCCTTACTGCAGGATAACATTATCCTGTGTTTGAAGGAACTTTTTATATAATATATTAGTTAATTACAACGGTCATTACGTCGTTCATATTTTTGGAACTTTGGCGAGCGTTTAGTGACTTGGTCCTTTTGGCCGGATTCGGGAGGAGTGTGCATGTAATATAGAGGTCTTTGAGGTTCTTTGCATTCTTCTCGGTTAATAAATAATATACGTAAAATTTGGCTTATTACGGAATGCTTTACAATTAGTTGTTAACTTACAAGATTGTCGTCTTCCGAACATATTTGAGAAGCTTGATGAAAGGCTTCGACGTTTCGCCTCTACGCGACGGAATGGAGAGTCGTCTTGTCGCGGACTTGTGTCCGTTGTTCGCGCTTGACCTTAAATGAAAATTAAACAAATTCTAAACAACATGTTTCGTCTAATTCTTTAATGCAATTCACTACATATGACCGTCTCCAAGACTAAATATATTTATTTTGTAAAAGTGTAGCCTGTACACTTGCTAAAATCTTACATGTTTCCATCACGAACTACCCATAAATAGTGAAAAGGACAAAGAATAAAGACTTTAATGTTTCGTAGAAAACGATATTGATATTTTTATAAATATTGATACATCGATATATTTATTAACTTTCGACATCCCTAGGTGGAATTAAAAAAAAAATCACCATCGCTGTTTGTCGGCGCACGCGACTTGACTAGCGACATTTCTCGCTGCACGAGGAAAACCCTCGCCTTGTCGACCAGCTGGTCCCTGTTCTCCAGGCCGGCGGTCAGCTCGTCAACTTCCTCTTTCAGCTTGTACAGGATCTGTCATGATGAGTACATAATACATCATTCGAAATATAGTGCGCTCTACATAAGGTGTGCGTGAGGGAGTATCTTCCTCTCTTTCGCGCCGTAATTACTATCATTTTCTGTCTCGCTCCCACTATATTTTGGCGAACATTCGCGCACGAAGTTGTTTTACTTTTTGTGAACATAGATATTTTTAAGATATCAGGTAGAATCAAACGGATTTTGCATTACATACGATATACTTGCTCTACTATATACTTTATACTTGCCCAATAAAGCGCATTTTTTATTTTGAAAAATAACACATAACGAAACACACGGCCTTGGTGCCGACGCCAACAGCATAGCAACTACGCCAACAATTGAAGAATAACAAGCCGCATTGACAATTGCAAAAAAAAGGACATCTTAAAACGTCATAAGCTAAACTGTGTTGAGTAAATGATAAACCTATTTTATTTATTTATACCCATTTTCATTCGTTCAAGCCTTCACCAAAGAATAGTAACGTGCAACTTATTGTCTTAATAAAATGGTAAAACGAATTAAGAGATATTATGACGGTGAATCCAGCGAGTATTTTTATTCCAGGGGTTAAAACTTACTCTGAGACAAAGATCTTGTTGGTGAAATTGGGCGTTAGTGACTGGCAAATCGATCACATAAATTCAAGTACATGGTTTAAGGTAATAAGACAGAATAAGAGGGCGGTGATTACTTCATAGTTTTGGACGTCAGTCTTGGGTTCAAAACCCATTCGCTTGTACATTCGAGATTTCGTTGGCATTACTGATAGATGAGTAAGCAACATTTACTAGGAAACATTACTTGTCTTTCTTCTAGTTATATTAAAAGACGCAAGGTCTTGTCCTCTTCCTTGTATTGAGGCGTCCCGTTCACGGCATTTGGCACTTACCTGGTATAAAGAAGGCACGTTCGGGTGCAGCATAAAGCCGGGGCAGCAGAGCAGCGAGGCGAGCAAAGGCGTCGGAAGCGATAGTAGCTTTGACAGTATGCTCGTCACTTTGCAATTAACAATCACTTCGGACTCTAAGAGGGCGGCCGCCTTCCTTAGGAGAATGCACAGCAGCGGGCCTGGAAGGTGGCGGTTGATGGATTATAGATAGAGGAAAAAAAACTGCAAGCAACATTCCGGCAACAACAATAATAGCCTATAGTCAATGTTATAGGTTGGCAACTAAGTGATAGCGGATTTCAGTAGATGTTTCTCACTCCCAATCTCCTTCTTCTTATTTATGTTAGGTATCATCCTTACCTAGTTTTACAATAAATCCCTAGTTCATTGCATAGATATTTTCTTAGTTTATAATTTTCGCCATATTTTGCTTTCATATTTCCCAATCGAAGTTGTTAATTGTTGGTAATTGATATTACAACTAACACATAGCACTGATCAGGCGCCATATGATTTTCAATTATTTCGATCCCTAGACTACTCACATTGTGGTGAAACTTTCAATGATGACGATGCTGTAAAATCTCACTTAACTCAGTTTTCGGCCGAAAAGGATGAGGCATTCTACGAGCGTGGAAGTTTCAAGTTTTCAGAGAGATGACGAAAGGTCATCTAACAAAATGGAAAATACTTAATTAGTTTTAACTTCATTCCTAGTACGAAGCATATATTTTATTTCATTTAACAAATCCGCAATTACTTAGTTACAAGCCCAATAATAGCAAAAACCTGTGCGTTTGGAAAGAAATTCATACATTTGCGAATTGATCTCAAAGTACGACGTGCATTAAAACGCCTAAGTCCGTCTAAAGCGACGGGCGTCAAGCTTGTCGCGTGGTTTCCAGCTCACCGATGACAGCCTCGGCGCTCGCCCTCCAGCATCGCACCGACGGCGTCTCCACCTCGCACTCCCCGCTGCGATGCTTCGCGAGGCCCCTCATGAACGAGTCCTCGGCGAACTGCTCGGCGTCGTCGCAGCACGCGCCGTCGGACGTGATGCTGTCCTGCTCTTTCCCATCGCCGCTTTGCTCGCCCCTCGTTCCGTCCTCGTCCAGCAGGGACGTGAGGCTGTGCGGCTCCTTGTCGGGCGTGCCGCTCGTCTTCAGCGTGCCGTAGCCGCTGGTGCAGACGGATATCAGGCTGTCCTGCTCGCGCGCGGCCGCCGGGCAGTCCGTCTCTTTCGCGCCGCGCTTGGCGAGCGCCTCGTAGGGGCAGCTCCAGCTGGCGCATGCGGCCGCCCGCGAGGCTATTTCGTATCGCGCCTCGCGCAGGTACGCGTGGTAGTTGCCGTACAGAGATTCGTTGGGGTTCTGGAACAAATAACGTAGCGAGCGTGAATTACTGAACGAAACAAAAAGCCAGACCGCAATCCTTTTTGTTTCACGTCTGGTTAAATCATCGTAATAAACTGTACGCATATATTCGACCGCTAGGCAAGCTTACAATCCTCAAGCGACCGACAGTCAAGAAACTACAATATACTTTTTTATCTTCGATATATTTTTTCTTTTAATAATTGTATTTACATAGTTGTTTATTGTTTTTCCTTCAACACGGATCACGTGCTGAATTATATATTTGACCCGAATGGCGTAGTGGGTAGTGTGCCTGTTTCTTACGCCAGAGGGTATGGGTTCGATCCCCACTACTGGAAAAATATTTTGTGATGAACATAGTGTTTTTCTAGTGTCTGGGTGTATATTTACAATGGGTGGGTATTAATTTACAAAAGAAAAGTGTGTTTAAGTATGTTATTCAGTTATTTAGTGCCCATAGTACAGGCGTTGCTCAGTTTGGGACTAGAGAAACTTGTATAAAACTGTGTTCAGAAATATATACAGGGAGGCTTTTCTAAGTGTATCCATTTTTTTATTTAAATTCTAGATATAAATAAAGTTATATTAAAAATGATAAATATTTAAAATCAATCGTAATAAATTAATTACATTCATTTGAACTTATCTCAGAAAGTGCGTGAATTATGGGCAACTCATTTATTTTACGCGCGATCATTCATAACTAACACACAAGTTCGTTTCAAAAGTATACGACGCATTTATGCGTCGTATACTTTTGAACGTACGCAGTGCGGTAGTCTGGCAGTCTAGAATGGCAATTATTTTTGAAAAAAAAAAGTTTTTATTTCAATAAACGATTATTCTACCGAGTCTGAACCATCTGTGTGAATTTGGGCACCTTTGTAAAAAGCCACCCTGTATACAAAGAACTCACTCCGTAATCGAAATTAACTTCGTGGACTAGATTGCTCATGGCTATGTCGCCGTTGACTCCGTTGATCCGTCTGCCGTCGTCTTCGCCCCTGAAGTCCAGCACCCGCCTGCCGTTGAGCGCCATCTCGTTGATCCAGGCCCTGGTCTTCTCCAGGGGTCTGGAGCAGCACCGGGGCGAGAGGGCGAGGAAGGCGACCGCCGCCTCTCGGTACAGGGCGGGGTCTGATAGCGTGTGCTTGTACGATGAGGCCAGATGGTGACCGCCCATCAGGTATTTGTACACCAGCTCCAGCATGACATCCTCGCAGTTTAGGTCGACGAGGGTCTCCACGAGCGACAGGGTGACCAGCGACAGCTGAAAATGTTGTAAAAATGTTTAGAAATAAACTTTTTTGTTGGGAGATATAATTTTAGTTTAGAAAGGCAGTTCAGAGTTTGCAGTATATCAATTTACAACAGTCCATATTGCACCATACTTTTTCACATTAAATTCACACTCGTACATAGCTCAGTGTCCGGGCGCTTGTTTTTAATTCATTATAGTCGATTGACCCGAGTTTAATCTGCTTTAGTTAAATGCTGGCACATCACGTGCTCAGCGGTGAAGGAAAACATCGTGAGGAAACCTGCATCTTATTGAAATTCCTCGTCAGCCTCACCTGCGATTTGCCGCCCAGCCTTACGGCGCCGAGTATTATGGTGCACTTGTATCACTCCCTCTTCGAAACAATGGCGTAAGCCCAGGTTCTGGTGCCTTGCTGCGGTGCTGAGTATTAGAGTGCACTTGTCTAACCACCCCGTCTTCCGAAGATTGGTGATAAGACACCTCTCCTACTTAATGCGCCAGTTACTACAGTGAACTTGGAGCACGCCCTTTCCCAAGAATGGCGTTGAGGCACCCCTCCTACTCGCAGCGCCAGGTATCACAGTGAATATTTACGGTGGTAGGGTCACGCAGCAGCCTCGGCTGTTGCACGAATGGGCAGGCCCGTCCGGGTAAGTACCACGACCTCACAGAAGACCGGCGTAAAGTGGAAGTATGACAAATACTTTCGCGTTTCGTCTGGTGAGTGAGGTAGCCGGAGCCCAATTTTCAAAAGGTTGTCAACGCATCTGTAACCCTCGAGTGTAGCAGATGTCCATGGGCGGCGGTATTCACTTAACATCAGGTGAACCGTCTGCTCGTTTGACAACTTTTCGCATAAAAAAAAAAAAAAAAAAAAAAAAAAAAAAAATTTGGACCACAGACCGGCGTTAACGCTCCATCCTCACCTGGGAGTTGCTGTCCAGCCTTACGTTGCCGGAACTTGGAGCATCCCCTTTGCCAAAGACTGGCGTTAAGGCTCCCCTCCCACTTAAGGCGCCAGGTCACGAACTTGGATCGAGGAGTGTCGCTAAGCCCCCCCCTCACCTGCGAGTCGCCCTCCAGCCTGGCGAGCAGCGCGTCGAGCAGCCGCACGCCGTCGTACTCGTACGCGGCGAGGAAGTGCAGCAGCGCCCTGAGCAGCCCGCCCGCCGTGGCGCTGCGCAGCGCCAGCTCCAGGTAGGCCACGGCGGCCGCCTGCTCGCCGGCGCCACTCTGCAACGGCCCCGCTCTCGTCTACGGTCGCGCTCGCGTTAGTGGCCTTCGACGGGGGTGGGACTTACGGCTCTACTGCACCGGCTTAAGGTCCGATTTTGAATGGGCGATATAGCGATAAAGAATTTACACTCAAGGCACGGACATAATATATGAACTGTTTGTTAAAGGGCGCTTTCCTTTGTGAGCATTTTTCAGTATGGATATACAATCTGATACGGAACGATCAGATGGGAGATATGCCAAGGAAATTTGAGTATGACTATGACTTAAAGGCACAGACGTATGATCTATTTTTAAATGGCTATTTCCTTTGTCGTGGGTCACGATGACGTCACGGCAAAGTGGTCACCTGGTTTGAAACGATCTCGTTTATTTTTCGACACGGAAGCGCGTAAGGTTGGTGGCAAAGAAAATTGCATTTAAACGATAATTGAAAACGGTTTTATTTCGTTTGGCGTAATGTACTAACAATTTTGTTCTACGAGACGATAATAGATACACACAAATCATAGTATAGTAATTTAATGACATTTAAGCATACATTTATTTATACAAGAGACGCTTTTTGTCTCATTATCCAAAATTTTCTAATAAACAGGTGATCTTTTCGAGTAATATATTCCGTAAAATCTTAATGATGCCATGCCATGACCTCACCGTAAGATAATAAGCAAATGGACCACCAATGTGCTTGTTCCGTTCCCTTGCGTGCATTGAAAGCGAACACTGACGAAATCCCACACTCTTGAAGCCACCAAACGGCAGATCCCATTAATACTTTTTGTCTCTAACCACCTTTCAATAAAAAAAAGATTGCCATTTTAGATAAACAGTGGTGATGAGTGGCAAAATGCATTAAAAGGATCTCATCGTAAGAGCATAATTATTATTAGGTCATAAAGAAAGGTATAAACTTACATATATACAGATAAAGTATTCTGAAAACTAAACAAATATAAACATACATGAAATAATTTAATAACATATGATTTTACAAAGATTATATATTTATTTATATATATTTTAACAATAATTAAGAAATTCTATGTTTTTGATTATACTGTTATATTTAATGAAAATATGAATAGAAGAAAAAAATAAATAGTTTCTTGTAAAGGTAGTAAAATTAACAAAAAATGCTATTAGTGCAAATTAATATTCACTTAACGATCAGTTTTATTATTGAAGATATTTTAAAAAGAAATAAGTAGAAAATACAAAAGAATATCATGCCGGACACAGAAATAACAGTTGTATCATAACTTCAAGTCAAGTTACAATCGGCACACAGATATACATACGAAAACTCACACACAAAACGAGGATGCATGAAAAGTTTCAATTGAAATTAATAAGCGATGAGCTAGCTCCATATGACCTGTAATACAGAAATATTGTGAGACCATCGCAGCACTGGTTAATGAAAATGTCAGCATACATGAGTAACAGACATAAATCCATTCCTTAAAATTATTGTTTTATTATGGCTTACAAAGTAATTTATATAATTTAGAGAACAATGATAATACAATAGGTCAAAAGTCAATGGGACGCAAAACTTGAATAAATGAGATGTACTCCAGTCCAACTGTTAGTTATATTATAATGGAACAATGTCGGTTATTGGATCGATTATAGAAGTTGTCACAATGGTAGAATCACTCAACCCAATACCTCAAACTGTTTGTGAGAGTTACCTGTAACAGTGCTGGCCCCATGACGGGCACCAAGAAGCCTTGCTGCAGGAGATCTAACAACTCCTTCTTGATGGATGGGTGGGCAACCTAAATTAAAAAAATAAAGCTATAAAATTCATATGTTTTTAACTTTTGTGATGATATAAATAGCTTCGGAATGTATTAAAATTTTACATTTATATATTTATTTGAAACAACGAAATGGACACTGAAAAAATTTAAGTTATAATATATTAAGTTTTTGTAGTGCTTTTATATATTTATTTATGTGAGAAGGTGGTAAAGCGAGCTGGCAGTTCACCTGATGTTTAGTGCTAACTGCTGCCCATGGACATTTGCAACACGTAGGGTTGTAGCTGGGTTCCACCTTTTAATAAAGTGGGCCCTGGCTACCTCACTCACCAGACGAAACCTAGAAGTATAACACTTCCACCTCACGTTCTTTACACGGACATAATTCTGAATGAACTTATGTATGAATTAATTCCGTGTAAGTTAAAAAACTTTTGCACAAATTATCTATTCTAAAACTGCCTACGAGTGATATCATCTGAATCCGTTCAGTTTTTACAAGACTAATGAAAGTATGGACGGTGAATAAACATGTGGACACCAATATCTTTTACTACGTTTATAATGTCAGTGCGATTTTACCTGTGCTACAGCATTGCAGAACTCCAGGGAGTCTATGAATAGCGTGAGTTTGTGCATTTGCTTGAGGTCGTCGGGTGTGAGGCGGTCGATCCTGTCGTTTAATGTACGCGGCAACAGCGAGTACAGTCCGCTGAGACCTGTAATGATGTTATAGTGGGGAATAAGTATTCAGTAGACAACATTCGAAACGACAGATGGGCTTTGTGACCTCTGGCCGCCGAGGTCGATACATCAGCAACAAAGGGAAACGTTATCGCGAGGCAAGTTCTGTTGGACCCATTACGACAATTCCGCGTAAATCTAGAACTCTACAGCAGAATCTGATTCGTGGCTTTACCAGTATTCCGCTTGATTCTGGAACATTCCGAAATCGCAAGCTTAGAATCTGCTTCGTCGCTCTACAGCAATTCCGCGTAGGTGAATCTAGAACTCTCCTAAAGCGCCATTCGTGCAACACCAGATTCTGATGCTGCGCTCTACCAGAATTCTGCACTCTTCTAGAACATTCCGTAAAGACCACTCGTGAAACAGTAGAATCTGCTGCGTCGCTCTACAACAATTCCGCGTAGGTGGATCTAGAACTTTGTGAAAACTGAGAGTTTTCACTTACCCGTCGCGAGCACTGGACACGTGTTGCCTGCGAGGAGGCAGTGGGCGAGCGGGGCGCAGCGGGCGGACATCTTGGCGCAGAGGAGCAGGGCGTCCCTGGACGACGAGCCAGTCGCGCCCTCGCGGTGCACCGAGGCGAGCAGCAGCCGCCCGATTATGAACCTGCGCGGGTTCGATGCCGCGAGTCGGGGGTCAGAAGATTAATTGGTAGTGGAAAGCGGGGAAGAACCGCTCCTAAGTTCGAAATTGGCTCTTTCGTTTATGCCGCGGGCTTGAAGCGGAATCGGGCGCAGAGCGGGGAGGAACCGCATTTCGTTTCGGAATCGAATTTGAATTTTTTTTTGTTTGTAACGTATGTGTAAAGTAGCTTATGAACATAATACTGTTGTTCATTACATAAGAATTTATCCGGTAGTGAGGATAGAACCCACAACCTCTGGCGAAAGAGGCAGCTTACGAGCACCTTGAGTCTGGGAACTCAGAACTTTGAGTTCCCAGTGCCGTTCACAAAATATAAATATTGTCTTGAGATCTCAGAGGCCGTGCGCTCGCTTTCAATTCAATAGACTCGGACCAGAGTTCGATTCCCGGTGGCGGTACCAATTAGAATGTTAATTGCTGATTTATGAGAAGCTCACCGGTAAAGGATAACATCGTGAGGAAACCTGCATATTTGAGTTAAGTTTCAATTAAAAAATTACAAAAATACGTGAAGTCTGCCAAACCCCGGTGGGGTCGCGTGGTGGAATATTCCTTAAAAATACTTTGTACGGGCGAGTCCTTTGTCCAGAACTGGGATATTATGCAAGCTGCAACTTTACTTTCTTTGGAATTGACTTGTTAAGTACGTTTATCGATTAAATTTTTGTCGTCAAACCTTTGAGAATATTGAACAGATATAACATGTTAAAGCATTTATAACCCATTAGATTTATATTATTTATTTTACCGTGTCTAATTTTAATTATGATGCAATCAGTCTAAACGCCGCTGTCACATTAATTTTATAACTATTATAGGTAATAATATACGAATCAAAATCTGTGTTGTATACATTACTCACTCTGCCTGGGATCCGTTCTGCGTGTGCGTCATAAGAAAGAAGAGGTCTATGAATTTCATATTTTGCATAAGGACAACGCATAGTTGATTGAGTACAGCGACCAACTGACCTGAAACACACGCATCTCGTATTGTATTGAAATCCAACATTAGAACTTATCCGCGCCACAGCATATCGAATTCGCTGCTAGGTGAATTAATTATCATAATTAATTAACTGACTCACTCAGAGATGGAAATTAGATCGCCATATTAGGCCTTGTTATCCATGATTTCAAATTAACAGGCATAGCTATCTATGCCTGTGCATTTGGAAGTGATCACAGTGAGCAAGGCTTTATAGTTGTGTTCACTGGGAGATAATAGATGTCGAAATCTGCTTAATTTTTAATAAATGCATTTAAACAATAACAAAACTCCCATTCCGCACGCGCAACACGCTTAAGAATAAGATTATTAACATTTTCATGAGAGATTAATAACGAAATAATAAGTTGGCTAAATCGATGTATCAGAATGTAGAGTGAGCCCCTGTATATTTACCATACATGCGAGGGACGGTAACGGATCAAATTGGAGCCCTGTTACGCCATATATATCCCTTGATGAAGGACGTACGATGGGTCCAAAAATAGTTGGTACATACATCGATTAAACTTAAGTTCAGCAGTCATTTTCAGCCCAATTTTCAAAAGGTAGTCAACGCTTCTGTAACCCTCGGGTGTGGCAGATGTCTATGGGCGGCGGTATTCACTTAACATCAGGTGAACCATCTGCTCGTTTGACAACTTTTCGCATAAAAAAAAAATATTTAATAGCTTTCCACTCGTATTAATTAATCGTTTAATTTTATATTAATGAAAACGTTGGAAATTTTAAAGTTCGACCAACAAGCGCTTGTTCTTAACTTTTGGGTGGGTAGGAATAAATAAAAATCTTTGTACCGTCACTCACTTTCTAGATTCCGCGGCGGTAAGTCGTTTCTGAAGCCGCTGAGCAGTTTGAGAAGTGGACGAAGGAAGGGCTCGGCGGCTATTACCTGAAATTATTCGTAACATTGTTGGTTTAACACAATATAAATATATTTTACAGAAAGAGATCTGCTGCAATGCATAGAAAACTGACGAAACTATTTGGAGGCAGTTAGACGTGTGTAACTGGTGTGCATACAAATTTATTTCTAGCCAAAGTAAAGTAAAGAAGTAAAGTAACAGCCTATATATGTCCCTCTGCTGAGCAAAGGCCTCTGTTCAGAGGTTATTAGAGCATATGTCACGCGACGACATTGGGATTGACAGACTTCACATATGTAAATATTTTTTATTATTATTATGAAAACTTGCAGGATTTCTCAAGAAGTTCTTCATAAGTCAACACTTAAAATTGCAATTAACAATTTAATTATAGCCTGCACTGAGATTTGAACTAGGCTTGCGATCGGACTTATTAATATTGTATGGATTTTGTGTTTGTATGGGCATAACGTATAAACTATACTCTCCATTCGCTGGTCAAGTGATTTCAGAGATTTTCATCGTATCCAACTTCGGGATGAGAATTTCTAGACGCAAGTTAATAATTTTGGCTATTCTTACATCGACAAAAACATTTGGCTGGGCCGCCAAAGCCCACGCGTGCATACATTCGTCCGTCAGGCGTTTTTAGTGGAATTTACATCGTTTAGTATTTTTAAGACGTCTGAAGTAAAAAAAAAAGTCGTTTTGTGTACACATGTCATATATTTATGCACCTACTAGTGACCCGTCCCGGCCTAGCACGGGTGCAATGTATGAGTATTATACATATAAACCTTCCCCTTGTATCACTCTATGTAGTGAAAAAAACCGAACTTTTGCCAATTTATCTACATTTATATACATTTGATCTTTTTTTTATACTTATGTATACTATAATGTATAGTATACTACAATATTGATAATTACCTGTGAACCATAGTGGCTGATGAGGCTTCCGAACAGCTTGAGTTCCTCCAGACGCACGGCATTCTCGTATCTGCGAGTGCAAAATGAAATAAATTCGAGTTAATATAAATACGATTACATACAGCTGGTATATTTTTATTCCGTTAAAATCTGAACCTTGCAGCGTAGTGCCTTTTTTTTTTCTCTTCCGTTGGAACTTCGTAATAAAAAGTACATACACATACAAAAACAATCTCCTGTTCAAAAGTATGCTGTGAACATATATTAAGCCAATCCGTCGGCTAGTTTTTGGACACAGAAATAGGGAATCTAAATTTTTATAGCCGATACCCGCAATACCGATACCCGTATTGATAACTTATATTTTATCCATTCTAGCACGACAGGAAAACACCTATCCACTGAAAACGTAGTGCTTATAAAATAACTTTAAATGAGATGAAAACATCACAATATTTTTTATCATAAATATTGGGCAACTGACGACTTGTCCAAGTGTGCGGGTCCAAGTCGATGGATGCAGGTGGCTCAGGATTGTGCTTCGTGGCAGTCTGTGGAGGAGGCCTATGTTCAGTAATGGACTGAAACAGGCTGAAATAATGTTGATGATAATGAAGGGCTATGTGTCCAAGAATTAAATTAGAAGAATTAATTTAAATCTATCACTTTTTATTAATGAAGATGATGTCAATTTTGTAATAAAAATAAATTAATGTATTTTTTTTAGGCCTACACGAGTTAATTAATCACAGTCATGTATTTTTGGGGGTGTTCGAATCGGTGGTAGATTTTGATTTAGCGCTTATAAAATGCAATAAGAAAACCTTTACAAATAGCTTGGCCATCAACACGAGAATGTAAAAGGACTACGATTATTAAAAATATGTGATAGAAATTACTTAATTATAAGCTCTATGTTTTTGATCCTAACGTGATAAATATAGACGAAGCTCATGCGAATGCTCATTAAACTCATAATTAACTAAACCACAATAGGCACTAAAGTAAAAGAAAGTATGCGTATACTCACGTAAGAAAGACTTCTTTAGCATAACAAAAGTAAAATCATTACTAATATTATAAACGCGAAAGTTTGTATGTATGTATGGATGTTTGTTATGCTTTCACGCAAATACTATTGAATGGATTCCAATGAAACTTTACAATAATATAGCTTATACATCAAAATAATACATAGGCTATAATTTTTGTACATATTTTTATGTATATCTGTCTTCAGTCACCTTTTGGTCGGTGTGAGCGCGCATCGTAAAAATTTTACTCTCGTAATTCTTTCCAAACCCGCCAAAAGTATAATTTTAAAAATATGATGATGAATGGATACAATGACAAAAAATCATGCAAATAATAAAATTTATAACACGAGAAAAATCTGAAGGTTTGTGTTGTGCTTATCATCTATAGAACAATTCGCTTCCTAAGAACCTACAAGGATATTCGAGCATACTGTTAGTCAGCATTAAATCAAACCCAGGACCCCCAAAACCGAAGCCCATACCTCGGCAACTGCGGCAAACTATGTATTTCATTCAAAGAATTCGTATCAAATTTCTTTATTGTTACCGATTGTTTGTTGTTACAATACATCGTGCGTCTTGGGCGCACTACGCCTCCATATTATGTTCTAGTATTTCTAGTATTTCTCGGAGCTCTTATCACAATTAGGTCACTCAATTTACGGACGTGTTAATTGAAGGAGTCACCGTTAGTGCGGTTTAATTCGTTTTGTAATGTATAACGAGCCTCATTATAGACTTGTTACATGCGATAAGTGTGTAACCAATCAAAATATGATATTGTTATGATTAATTTTATTTTTTAGTGCTTGGCCTCTGCACTCAAGGCGAAACGTATTTGTAGAAAAATGTTCGAAAAATCGGAGGAGCCTGCCCAATGCCCATACGTGTGACAGCAGTATGGCTCTACCAGTAATCTTATTATAAATTAATGATATTTAAATTAAAAAAAAAAAAACTCTTACTCTAAAAATTTAAATATGTTTATAAGTAATATTTACCGAAATAAACATTTTACATATTATACAGCGTTACATAGCGAGTGAGTATACAGCGTGTACAAAGACACGCTGTATACTCACTCGTATCTGAATTCCTACAGCCTTAAATGGTATGAAAGACACTATTTACGTATGTCATAGCGGTTCAGTTACCTGGCAACGATGTTCTATTACGTCATTTGATAATTAAAGTGAATATTTGATGCGATAAGTCTTATGAAGGTGACGCCTAAACGGTCGCAAATACAACGATAACGCTATTTGATTTGATCTCATTGTAACGTTATCGAATAGTCGTTAATTGACAGGGCTCTCGAATATTCTTTATTGGGTTTACAGAGTAGTGGCAGCCTGAATGCGTTACTATTGACAGGAGGTCACATTATTGTTTTACATACATTATTGTTTTGTAACGATAGATAGCAAGCTACTGCAAGAATAGGACACTAACGCCCGGTTTCGGAAACACTGCTCATCGTAAAAGTTAACTAATCAGCTGTCAAATGGCTTTTCAAATGTTGTTTAAGTTGCCAAAAGGATGGTTAAACTCTATGAATTGATCAGAGTGATGTTCTTAATGATCAGAATGAGAGCGTTAGAGAGAGAAAGAATATTTATTTTATACTTTTGTAACTGGACAACCACAATCAGACGTCACGTAAGCTACTGAATTCACAGCTCGGTTGTGTGTGGTAGACAGTTACTTAAAAAAATGCAGAGTGGTGGACTGCTAACCATCGAGGCGATAGCGATGGTATTTGGTGGTTTGGCGCGAAGATTATTCTTTTATGTCACCGAAAATGTATAGGATGATGTCTGAAAGAGTTGTCATAGTGAAAGCAGTGGCCGTCTGCTGTTAAAGATGTCTATTGGCTTGACCAATTTACTCATACAAAGAGAATATTAAACGCTTTATCAATGCTAAATAAAAGATACTTGTGATAACACCTAATCGTTTTTTGAACGATACGGACAAAGAAGTTGTATTTTTATCTCGCTATCATACTGTACCGATAGACACTTAAATATTACTAGTTGATCCGTGCGAAATTTACGCACTGTACCGTGAAGAGAAAATATGTTTATGTTTTGTAGATAATTTAGTTTGGAACTAGTTTGTTTGATGACTCCGTGGTGCATTTGTCGTGGGTTCGATTCCCACACGGGACAACTATTTGTGCGACCCACAGATAGTTGTTTCGCATCTGGGTGTTTGTCCTCGTGCAATTTATGTTTGTAAAAACGTCCTTACAACACAGGATAATGTTATCCTAAAGTGAGGGCAATGTTTTTTAAAAAAAGAGAAAAGAGAAAGAGAAGAGAACTTTCTTATGTAAAATGTATAATAACGTCATCTATTGATAATTTGTTTACGTGAAAAATTGCCAAGTAGTATTATCATATTACAACCGTTCGATGTCTGATCATAATCATGGTTCAGGATTTATAACTCAATTTATATTCTATTAAATATTAACGATTTTTATTTTTAGACTATAAAATAAATAAAATGATCCATCATGATATAAATAAAATGTCCGTGATAAGTCTCTGTACATAAACACTAATAAAATTTATATTATTAATAAATTTTAATCGCCAAGGCGACATTTCTCTTTCGAAATTTCACTGTAATGCAAACTATTGACGAAAAATAGACAGATGGAATGTCTACTTGTCTATTTTTCGTCAATAGTGGCAACACATAACCTTTAAATAGTGTTTGGATCATTAACTATGAACAAAACAAAAACACCTGTGAGCAATAATATATTGACATAACTTTCTGTTATAATGATAACTTTAAGACCTTGGATTTAATATGTCATTTGACCGGGAAGCTTATGTCAGCAGAGTACAGGCTTCAGTGAGAATTTTATTTAGATTGATTATAAATATGTCTATATCGGTTACGTACTGGGCAAGTTACTTGACAAATTAGAGAAAGTCTAAGGAAGAAACAAGAAGGAAAACGTAATCGCATGTTGAGCTCCTTTTGCAAAACGGCGCACGAAAAAGAAGAGTAAGATAACAAGACCCCAGAGTTTCTTGCCTTTTCTTCCCAGGCCAGGTCTAGTTTAGTGAACTGGTGGTAGTTTTTGACGTTCAATAATAGAGCTTAAATTAAGTATATATATATTGAATAAAGAAACTTTGACTTAAATTCGAAATATACGTAACCCACGAGGGAGGAATCGACATATTTTCTTAGCGTTCATAGATTCCAAATTGCAAAGGGGACTCATACACAGATATTAAGGATCCTGTATCCCAACTAAAAGCTAAAAGCTAAATTTATTTATTACATTATTTAGTTTATTATATGATTTAGTAACTTATACATTGTTCGGACTTACAAGGAACGTTGTGTAATATCAAAAAGAAAAAAACACTCAAATTATTAACGCATGCAATTATCAATACTCGTTATGTCTCATGGCGTAAAACGAATGATTCACGCGGGAAACGGAAGTACCTATATAAATTCTTGTTCATTGTAACATTTGATAGTAATGCACGAAGTATATAATAATGGAGACTGAATTAAAGTCTCTATGGATAATTTTCTAAGCGACGTAAGCACCAAGAGAGGGAAAGAAAGAAAGAGTTACAATACTATTATTTATGATTAATTTTAAAAAATATTTCATTAAGAGAAATTGAAGGTCATGTACACAACACAACTATGCCAGGTGATGGTTTCGGTTGTTCATCTAGCAGCAAGTAAGGCTAATGTATGGCTTTGCTCCTCAAATATCAATAGGCAAAAAACAAGACCTGTTTGTCAGATTTTCCTCAGCCTAGACTGCTTTCGTTTGAAAGTAGAAAATTATCTAATTTTAAATTCGTAACATTTGCATCGTCGTTATCGATAAAGAAATTCCATAAATTTCAACCAAAAGAATTTGAAGACAGACGTTATTATGAAAGTCCACAATTTAAAAAATAATGGAAAATCTTCTCCTATATATATTATATATCTAAATAAATAAAAATGGATTGCTGTTCGCAACAATTTTATTTTCACATAC